CACTAACTTTCAAATCTGTAGTCCTGCCCTTGATTGGTTGGGCTGTCAACCTTCTGTAACGTAACTTAGGAAGTACGGGGAGTTGACCATCTGTGTGTGTCTAATCTGTGACTGGCTCTTGTGGAGTAGCTTGTTCGGTAACCAGGACAATTAACAGTTTGAAATTCTGTTCATGAACCAATTTGTTCGAAAAGCAAATCATTCAAAAACCAAGGTTTGACCGTACACCTGTCCCAAAATCTGCAATAGGAATTATATTTATCTTTGTTTATTTAACAAAACTACAGAAATTAGCATTATGAATTTCAAAATATGATGAATATTGATGAACAATTAGAATCAAATGTCTGTCACGTTTACCTAATGCAGTAGTAATAATAATCTCATTAATTTGAACTAATATAATTCAAATTTACTCTTAATTCAATCTGGACTGTAGTCATCATCTAATTCCTATTTAAATCAATGTAAAATTCTCTTGGTAATTTGAATTCAATTGTGTCACCTCCTGTTTATTCAAATCAAAAGCATGTGTTAGTAGATTAATATCATCATCCCATTTTTTGAAACTGAAAGATTGAGTTTAAAATTTAAGAACATTTCAAATCAGTTACTGCATGATTAGAATGGTTTACACTCATCATGTTGTGTGCTTGTTCATCGTGGCTTCTCATTTCTTTATTTTATTGAATGCATTACTGTACCTTTGTTTTGTATTTCTCATTGATTAAACATTATTCTCCTTGCCATGTGGTATTAATATGTTGTTAAAATCATTTTTTTTCTATACCATCTAGAAATGGTCTCCTTTTAATTTGAACTGTTTAGGCCATTCTTCTGAGTTCAAATTAATGAGAACGTACTGTATTATGTGGGTTAATTTAATGATAATTTTGTAAAATTTCAAACTACAGTTATGTAATAATATATAGTCTTAACAATTTAAACAATTTTAATATTTAATTTGTTTTTGTTAAATTTAACTAACTAATTGCAAATCAATTAGAAATTTCAAATTGATTTAAATCTAAAAATGCATTTATGTAAATTTCTTTTTATTTTTTAGTAAAACATTTAGGGCATTAAATGATTATTGGATTATTATGATTTTCCAAATTAGAATTTAATAATAAAAATGAATTAAAGAAAATAAAATGATTACAATATTACATTATATTAATATAAATAAAAATGTGAGAAACTGTCATGATAATGCTCAATAAAAAGAAATGCTTAATTAAGGTTACCAAAATTATTAATTACAAAATGTTTTTGGTTTAAGTTTGTGCTGATCATTACCTGAAGTGTGCTGAAGCTCAGCACATATGTAAATTGAATTTTTTTCATTATTCTACATTTTATTTACATTTGCATCAAAGTTGACCCAAACTGAGGTGAAAAATGCTTAGTAGCGAGGTTGAGGCCAAAGTTTTAAATGCGAAAACATGTATGTCAGACGTTCAGCGAACTTCTAGGCTTACAGGAAAGCAGTGCTGAACGTTCGACGTACACGTTTTTGTGTTTAAAACTTTGGCCTCAACCTTGCTAATAATAATTAATTTTATTAAATTATACAAACCTTACTGTCAGTTGTCAATTCAAGTTCAAAATTAAGTACACCTAATTCTGTTTTTACATGATAGATTGGTTCCCAGAAATTTTGTGTAAAAAAAATACATTGTACTGTGTATATATGGAAAATTAAAAGATTGGTTACGGATCTAAGAAATAACAAAAAATAATGAAATAAACCATATGATAAATCTTGTTAGAATCTTATTTTTTGCATGTTATCAAATTTTAATTTATATACATTACACATAAAAATGTATTATAGGAACATAAATTTCATTTGAAAAACAGAAAAAACACAAATAATTAACGAACATAAAAATTGGGCAGAATATGTAATGTGAGTTATACATAAGATTTTATTTGCTGTCATTTTCTGACAATGAACACATATATTTGCACATGATTGCAATATCACTGCTATTGCTAAAAATGCTTTTCCCCATTTTTCAACATTATGTAGTGCAACCACTCGACCACTTGGCATTTTTAATTTTTATTCAATTCAACTGAACTGAATAAAAATTAAGATGAAAAATGCCAAGTGGTCGAGTGGTTGCACTACATAGTGTTGAAAAATGGAACAAATAATGACAGTTTTAAAATTACTAAAAAATGGTTTGGTTATTCTTCATTCACAGGTGAAGTTTTTCTTTGAACTCCTGAACAATGTTAGCAATAATGTCCTGTGGTGCTGATGTTACAGTGGTTTTATGAACAAATTTAGTTATTCTATACCATAAGAAAGGCTGGGTTCGTATTGTGGCTAGCTCTTTATATAACTCTTTATAAGATGACGTTAATGATTTTAGATAGCATTGAAACTTTAAAGCTAATTCCTCATTAGGATCCTACTTGAAAAATTATTATTATTTTTTTTAATCCTGTTAAATCAAAATCATTTAAAGAAGTTTGTGTAAAAACAGAATTAGGTGTATATTGATAAGTAGAATGTAAATAATGCAATTTTTACCTGAAGTTTTCATATTATGCATTTAATATTGCAAATTTCATATATACATATTTTCAATTTTACAGGGTGGAAAGTAATTAGGTATTGAGAAGTTACTATAATTTTTATATTTCTAATGCAATGATGATGATAAATTATTTGGCATGTACTGTACCTTATTAAATAAAATAAGGATGCATACTTCAGAAATTCAATGTAGGCAGCAGTGCCATCCACCAACTTTCTCAAATAACTGGGATGGAATTCACAGCCTTCTGCAGGAAGTTAATGATGATATTCTGAATCTGTGCCTCCAATTCTTCTAGTGTTTGAGGTTTTGTTCAGTTCATCATCTCCTTTGCCCTAGACCTAGAGGAAAAAGTGACAGGGCTTGAGGTCACTTATTGAAGGCCATTCATGAGATCCTCATTGTTCCAACCAATGTCCCAGAAACTTCTGGTCCAACCAGGCACTATGGTAAGTGCAAAGTGAGGAGGCATGCCATTCTCCTTGAAAACAAGTTAATGATGTTTTCCCAGCTAGATACAGTGGGCCATACATAATCTTCTCACATCTGAAGATAGCAGTTGGCATTCATGGTGTCCTTCAGGTGATATAGGCTGAGGACCCTATTGGCTGTCATTCCACACCACACAGTCCTTTTGGATAATTCTGTCTCTTCTCTACTGTCACTTCAGGATTATGTGCCACTCAATAATGGCAATTATGTTAATTTAAGAAACTGTTCCTGTTGCTTCAGAGAATGTTTTCAAACAATTGTGATCAATCCTCATGCCAATGCAACATCAAATTCCCATATTCCATTCTTCAATCACAGTCTACATATGCCAGCTCTTGCATGTAATGTAGTTTCCATAGTCAATAATTCAATTCTTTCCATAATTCCATGCATATCATGTACCTCAACAGTCTCCTTTTGTGAGCAGTCTCACATGTTCATATGCCTACATACAGGCTGCAGATGAATGCATTTTCCTCTTATTGTGATGCTTATGGATGGCCACTTCTTTGTGCATCCACAACTGAACTTGTGGTCATAAACTTCAAAAGGCAATTCTTGATTGTTTCCAGGTGGATTTTAACACAACATCCTTCACCATATATCACTAATGCTGCACAGCAACCACTGATTTTCACATCTCTTAGTGTGCATTAATCTGCACTCGCTCATGAACAAACAAGTGTGGTCTGCCATCATTTTTGTCTTGCACATGTGGCTTTTCTCAGTCACTGCCCACATCACTAATGCAGAAATTATAAAATTTTATTGATTGATATATGTGCACATGCAAATTTTATTATAATTGCATTATTATTACAAATATTATAGCAATTTCTCAATGCTTAGTTACTTTCCATGTGCCCTGTATAAATTGTAATTGTGAGTAATTATTTCATTGTTACTTGTATGCATAATAAATTTAACAGTATAAAAGTAGTTTCTAAGATCAAATTTTTTTCAGTGGAAAGTACGAAGAACACTTGCCGCTTCAATCCATGAACTGGCATTTATTTTGGGAACAGAACTTACAGCACGTGATCTCTTACCAGTATTTGTAAGCTTTTTACGTGACTTAGATGAAGTGAGAATAGGAATTGTGCAGCATTTATTTCAATTTATAAGGGTAAATATAAAAATAAAATTTAATTTAAAGTTATGATTATTTTATTACTGTAAATTAATTTTTATAATTTTATTCATAAAATGCTACTTATGATAAAATATAAATGATAAAATATAAAATTTTAGACCACATTTTTTGTAATTATAAGTTTAACAGAACATTAATTTATCAAGCGCAGTCACATAATACTTGTAATATTTTGTTAATTTATTAATAATATAAGCCAGGAATAGCAAATTTTAACTCTGATGAGAACATAGTGAAATTTAGCAGATGAATATCCTGCCTTGCATATGGCCATATAAACATTACGTAACTCGAGTTCAACAAGCTTATGCATTGATGGACATAAAAAGGGTTTTCTAATGAGAGCAGAAATGGCAGAGTTGATGTAAAGTGAGGTTTGAAAAAATATTGTCAGGATGACATGGAGGAAATGGTGTTAAACTTGCAGTACACTGAATGGAGAAGTCTTCCAGAGAATCTATGTATGTGGAGATCCAAGAATGCTATTATTAATATGTTGATGATATTTTTAAAACATTTACATTTTCAAAAATATATTTTTCCTTGAAAACAGTTCAAATATTACAGTAAAAAATCCATGTGTGATTATCTCAATATACATATTGAATGATCAAATTACTCTTACATATTACTATAGATATTTAAGTTTCTTATAGAATCTTTTTAAAATAACTAAAGAAATTCTNTTAACCATTTCGGTTATCTGAGTGTCTGTTTTTTGAGGTAGTGATGTCATGCTGCATGATATTAGTTACAAAATATATACTATACTGTACATATATAAATTAATAAATGAAAATTTCTTACTTTTTTCCTCCTGTTATTAAATCCCAAACCAGCACCGATCCGTTCTCTAGCCCATTCACTACAATGTTTCCAAAATGAGAAATGGCAATACCCCAAGTATTCGAATCCGGTTTCCACTTTTTAAATAATGTTCCACTCTCCAATTCGTATACTACTATAAAGTTAGGCGAAGGATCATCTAAAGGCAATTCCTACAATAAAAATAAATTAAACAATGTCTATTTATTTTGTTTCGTTTTAAAATCGAATTGAAATTATACGTTTAATAGGTTTATATTAGAAAATTTACTTTGCAAATAGATACGAGATATCGACTGTCGTCACTAATAGCAGTCATGTTAGTCAGAAATTCGTGCTGTGGAATCCTCAGATCATAAATGAGCTTCCTTTCTGTAAGGTCCCACACTAACAATGGAAATGGTTTTTGAGTTTCGTCACCGCAGACACAAATTCTTCCATCCGCACTAACCAATAAACTATTTAAAAATCTACAAAAAAGTAAAAATTATTGCCCGGTTCTGGTAATTCTAAATTTTACACAATTTATTGATTTTTACCTATCTTCTCCCACTTTAAACGTCGTTTCCATATCGCCGGTTTCTAAACTCATGACATTTACATACATTCTGTTCCTCGATAGTGCAATAACATATTTATTGTCTTGAATACCGTAGTAAGGCATCTTCTGGTTCATAATTCCTTTCAGCCTCAAAACAAATTTTCCGCGATTCAAATCGTACAAGACTAATTCACGATTACAAAGAACCAATGCTCTGTTACCATTGAGGATTTTGATATCTCTGGGAGATTGAGAAATTCGAAGAGTTCTCACTGGTATCGATTTGTGAATGTCCCAAACTATAATTTCTTTTCTTTCTTCGGATAAAGTTACGGCATGATACGGATCGTCTTTTATGGTGAAGATGCTATTGAAAGTGAGCGAACTGTCAGTTTTTTGTTCTTCTTGAATACTTCCGACTGGTTTAAGCAAACAAGGCATGGCTGAGAGTAGACTAGGTATAGGTGGTTTAACTGTTCTTTCGTAGATTGATTGAAGTAAAGGATATTTCTCTGCATTTTCCTCTTCTGACATGAAACTTTTTAAGCGATTGTAAAATTGGCTATAGAATTGCGTGCTGTCGTATCTCAATGCGTAACTGGATAGATGCATTACATCTCTTAGAACATACACTTCGTTGTCGGCGTTGTCGGAGTTGTGATAAATATAAAAATCGATATCTTCCAGAAATTCGTACGGATCAGAAGAACCGCACTTGGCAACGATCCATTCCGGACTAAACAAATAAGAAGCTTTGGCAATTGGACAACCTTGATCCAAACAGTTCATTGGTAGTTCGCTCAGTTTGCGGCAATTCGGAACAGAGCCGAACACAACGGGTTGGTCTAACACTAATCTATTGATGAATTTGTTCTTGTATAACTTATATTTATCTCCCGCCCATTTACCTGAAAAATAATCCACTAACGACATTTTATACTTATCAACTTTTTGTTCTTTGATATGCTCCCAGCATCTGTATTTGTAAAATTGGTTCTTCCAAGTTGTGACATTTCGGCGACATTCAGTTCTAACGTCAAGAAATGCGTACAGGTATCGCTTGATCAGATGCCATATCAGTCGAGGAAACCTGATAAATGTGCTAACGTTATCGTGGTAAACACATTCCAGAGCAGCATCTTCGCAGGACAATAAATCTAACATCTCTTCGTCCGTTAAGCCATGTTTGGCAGCTCCCAACAAACCGATTACATAGTTCATTACTTCTTCACCCACGTAATCACCTAAAAGCGATAGTTTACTCTCTACCAAATCCTCAATATTGTTAGGAATATTCTCGTTATCTACATTCTTAGAACTCTGCCATTTTATCGCCGAATATCCCAAAATTCTAGCGTATCTTGGATTAGGACAATTTGATAGGCAATTTCTAATTAAAGTTTTTTGGGAATTTGTTAACACCCTTTTGTTGTTTATTAAGATCTCGTCAATTATTGACATAGCTTCAATGGATGTGAGAGAAGGAATAGACAAGAAACTTGATTCTGGAAATATGTCCTATTGAAAAAAATAAAGCATCAAAAGCCGGTTAAACACTACAAAAAATTTAAATACTTACTCGTAATTGTTTGAGTTCAGGACTATTATCTCTGAGAGTGAGAATGAATTTGGTCTGTCTAGGCAGTTTGGTGGGAATCCAACTTAAATCTCTGGAGCTATAATTAGCGACTTGATCTAAGCCGTCTATCAATATGTTCATAGGATACTTCTGACTAGTTCTTCTTATCAAAATTTCAAACGATGCGTTATGTTCTTGCATATTCTGAAATTAAAAAATAAAAATGCTTATTTGTTATCTCTATTTCAATTTTAAATTCTGCCAAAATTATATCTACTTTAAAGGCTAATGAAACGTGTTCTCCTATTAAACTGCAACAATGTTCACTAATGCTCCTTAGGATTCTTTCGAGAGTGGCAGATTCGGAACTGATTCCTATGTGTCTGAGAATGATGGCTGTATTCGGCATCCAACTAGAACACAAATTAGAAACTGCGGCCATTAGTCCTGTTTTACCGCATCCGGCGGGCCCATATACAATTAATGGACTAGAAGACTGCCCCTCCAAATATTGTCTGATGGCCATTAACACATCTTGCCTGCCGATAAATTTCGCCGAATGTATTTTACTGGTCCACCATTGGAGAAGCAATTCGTGATGAAGTGGTTCTTCCATTCCTGCGAAACAATCTTTATTATGAATATCCACGATAAAAGTTTAAGCCGATATAGAAAAATTCTGCACCTTTATATGTTTTAGTTTCTTCTTCTACGCTATCCGCTTCTACAATATTTTCAACTATTTTTTTTATTTCGTCTTGAACGGCTGAAAACTTTTCTTGACTTTCTTCGTCTTTTGTTTCTAGAGAAATAATTCTATTTTTCGGTAAAATTTCTTCTAGCTGCGAGATAACAGAAGAGCCTACTTGTGCACTATCCGAACCACTATCTCCATTCATTAATGTGCTATAATTAACAAGCAAGCATTTGTTTGCAAAACCTTTGTTTTCGATGACCGTTCTGTTAATTTCTTCTTCCAATACTGAAAAAATAAAATAAATCAACAGATATATGTACCGTATTTATTGTAATAAACAGCGCGCTGTCGATGACTTTTTCTATCTTGGAGCTGTGCCGCTTATCAGAATATATACGATGTATATTATACACTGTATATTTAAATTATTTACCATTAAGAACTAAAAAAAACCATTACCTAAAGACAAATAATTGGCTTTCTTTCTATCCGGCAAGATTTTGGATAAGATGTTGATCATGGTGGCCGATTCTTTCCGCCACATTTCAATAGCTTCTTTTCTCTCCGATATATTTTTGGATATTATATTGGGTATATTATATCTAATAGACTGAAGAACGTAACGGGGAGGAATATTATTCTCATCCAGCCGATACCATTTCCTAAGATAATCTCGGTCTTTATCAGATTCTACTTTGCGTATAAAATTATCAAAATCTGTTTCTTCGATTACACGAGGTAGACACGGTTCATATATTTTGCCTTTATACAAAACCTAAAATAAAATAAAATTTATTCTACTTATTTAATTAAACTAATAATAAAAATGGAAATTTTACCAATATTATAAGTTTTCCTCTCTTCTTCAAATTTTCTAAAGTTTCGATACAAATCTCTCTGAACGTATGATCATCTATGCAATCGGCATACATCCCGCAATGTAAATTCACTACGTTTAGTTCGTATCCCATTTCTGCCACTCGATGCCTTAAGGTAGGAAATATAGCGGCATACATCAAATCAAATTCAGATTCCGTCTCTAAAAAACGTTTAAAAATATAAATATCCATAAAAAAAATATTTGAGGACGTCATTCTGTAAACTTATATTTACTGTTATTTCTAAAATTATATCAGAATATTCATTAAGTAAAAATTTATCTACTCGTCACCTAAACTTCGTCCATAAATTCGTATGAAATTGTAACTCGACAAAATGTCGTCATCGTGATACATTAGACCGAAGGTTCCCAAACTGTGGCTCGCGAGAGTTCCACAGACCCATTTTCTATAAACGCTTTTTATTTTATTATTTAGCAAATATCGCAGTTTGCAAGAGAAGATCAATTGTGCGGACGAATAAAAAATTCTTAACTGCGTTTATTGTGGTTAGTGTTTTTAGTGTCGGCTTTTTCTGTAAAGGAAACGTTACGAGGTAAGTATTCATATACAGTATTACATTATTATGTTATGAGGGCAGTTTATTGTGACCACAGGTTATTACCTGGCAGTTTATTGTGACCACACCCATTCAAAACAGTTTATTGTGACCACACCCATTCAAAACAGCTATTGCATTTTAGTCAATTACTACAATCATACCATTGAATATTAAAATTGATCAGTATTTTATTATTATTATTATTATTAAGCAATAAATTGATTTGATAGCATTACTTAGTGTGTAGAACAAGAGGGCCCTTCAAGTGCTTCATCCGTCACTGCCTTACACCAAACAGAGAAAGTATTAATTCCGTTGTTCAATAGGTGTAAAAAGTCATTACTGTGTTTATTAAGTTTTTATTATAGTAATTTTTAATTTCTTATTCAATTCATTTATTTGCACGAAGAAAGAAATAATCTATCGACTATTCTGAAAATTGATAGAATTTTTAAACTTTCCATCGTTTCAAAAAACTATCTTCACAGAATTTTTCTTCTTATTTTTCGTTAATGTGTAATTAAAACTTAAATTTTACTAATCTTAGAGTTGTTATTTAAATTTAATTTAAAATCAATCAGCTACGCTTGAAATAGTTGTAAAATATATCTTCGCTAAACCAAAGTTATTTCATTGTAATTCGAGAATTATACAGCGTGTTTCGAAATTCCTTTTACGAATTTACAGGGTAGATTCCATTAAGAAAAACTAACATAAAAATGTTCAGTAACGTTTTTGAAATAAAGCCTTTATTAATGAGTTATAGACAGTTAAAGTTCAGTGACGTCACTCAAATGACCGGCATGACTTCTTTGTTAACAAGAAAAGTGTGATGTACGGGGGCAAGACACTAAAATTGATAGCATTGTGACGAAAAATTTGCAGCCCAGCATTTTGACAATGTCTCAATAAATAATTGTTCGTTTTAATTTGTAAAAAATTGTTATGCAAATAACTTTAATTTAGCGAAGACGTTCTATTTTCAAATGTTCAAAATGCTTCAAATATAATCGTCAGTATTATTTTATTCATCCTTTTCCAACGTTTAATAATTTCTCAGCTAATTAAAGATTGGTTAAAAACGATGGCTAAACAAAGAATTCTACTCCTTTAAATTTTTCGATATACTTGGAAGTAATACCTCACGTAAAAATAAATGATAAAACAATAGAAGATGATAGATACCAAAAGAGCTAGTGCAGACATATATAGATATTTCTTTGGCATTTGACTTAATGTCGGGTTTTCGTACCCTCCCCAGTAGAAGAGATCTGACATCATCGGAACAATATCTGAGATCTGGCAATTCATCCATTAAACGGGGATCATAACTCAATCTTCTTATTTTATGATACTGAAAATAAATATAGTTTTATAGGGCTTTAGATTTGGTATAATAAAATCTTATTAAGTGTTACTACCGGTTGCGAAGTAGATAGCCTTTTAACTGGTGGCATTTCGGGAGCTAAAGGATCGGAGGTTATTTCGGGAGGAGAAGTTTTGTCCGGTGTTTCGGGTATAACTTCCACTTTAATCTGGCATACGGAAGAAGGTGCTTCGGCTTTCGATTGACTGGTAACTGTCGCCTGCGATGGAGTTTCTGCCTCCTGTTTCTGGACGGCAGACGACGACGGCGTCTTGGATTCATCCGATTCGGGTCTGAGAAAGAAATCCAATTTATTAAATAATGAATACAAGTAAAATATGTTAATCAGCAACTTAAAAAGCTTTATTAACGTACTAAATGTTTATCAACAAACAGAAAAGATAAACAATTTTGTACAATGAATAGTCAATCAAAAACACAAAAAGAACTGGGATTTGAATCAACGTCCTTCGAGAGCATGCCAAATGCTCAAACTACCGGAACATGCCTTATCTTGAATGAGATTCTTAACTTTACTACGAAATAGTTAGATTAACGTATTGAATGGGCTAGATCAGTGTTTCTCAAATTTTATGTTCGGGAACATTTTTCATTCCAATCTCTCGCAGACTCACGGAAAACAAGTAAACTGCCCTGGACCGAGGAATTAAGAGCCCCTCTACAATATTTATTTCGTTTATTTCTTTCCTTATTGCTATAGGAATCCCAATATGTATTTTCCCCCCAGTCCCCTGTTACCCTCTGGGCTGACCTGTAGATCAGTATTTTTATGAAATTAAATAAAAATTATAAAATGGAGAGAACGGAGTTCAAATGCAATATTATTATTGTTATTTTAATTTTCAGAATGAATTAGAAATTTTATTATTGTATTTCTCTTATCTTGTGAAATACAATACAATAACAAAAAAAAAGACCAGATAACACTACACAGAAACGAATTCAAACTATAAACCAACTCGAAATAAACTGAATTCAAAACAGAAAAACTAGATCTAGTTTATAAAAGATTAAAATAATATCAATGTCCAAGCTTAGGAATGTATGGTGCCACACTACATTTAATGCACGTCTCATTTTGGAGAAACTATAACCAATCATCAGGAAATGGATCTTCTGATCCATTTAAACCGAATTTTTAACCCCCATTTTGTACCTTTTCTACCCTTTTCACCATTTCCCTCAATTAGCATCATTTTCCGTTTGTTTTCAAGCTTTTGCACAAAATTGCAAATGAAATTTTACTTTTGATTCGGGTGTCGAGAGTGAAACGATTTCTAACCGATTTTCCTGCCTATTTAACGTTTGGAAATTGAAATTATGCTTTTGATTGGCTAATGAATTTCAACCGTAAACAGTTTTGAATTTGAATTTGAAAATTACTCCTTTCCAAAATTTTTAATTTCTTGCTGTGATTGATTAGAAAAAAATGTCGGTTGGCTAACAGTGGCTTGAAAAATACTATAAATAAGGGACTTCCTTTGGCATCTTTTTAGCGAAGTTCTGCACTTTTTTAATCATATTATAAAAATATAGGCCTATATATTTATATTTGTATACCGTATTGACCCGAATATTAGGCGAGTAAGGTAACTCACTTGTCAGTCCATTTCGGCAACTCTAGTATTTACATAAGAAATTTTTCACAGAAGAAAACAAAGTAATTTGGATATAAAGTTTCATGTTAGATTAAGTTACACGTATGGCACGAGAAAAGTGCATGGTAGCTAACGATGAATGAGTCATACAATCTAAATATAGGTGTCAAGTGATGGTCGAGTGGTCATTTGGGAGAGAGTACGTGAGGATCGCCACGTTGACAGTAGTGATTAACAAAGAAATTGTTCAATGCGCGACCACTGTCAGCCAGTGTTGAACCTGTCCCTCGGGACCAGGGTTGCAAGGTCCGAACGTTTCGTACCAGTTGGGCAACATTAACTGCAATCACGCCTTATTTCTTGGGGTAGCGGATTATGTATTTTTTGAGATAATCTTCATCTAGTTTACATTTTGAACTTAATTCCAAATCATAACCTAAATACTTGAATTTGCAACCCAATTTGGTAACGCTGGTTTTCGACACGAGACGTCATTTTCTAGTTATTGATTTTTCTTGTAAAACTTTGAGGGTAACGAAATGTTAGATAATTAATGGGGAGGAGTACGCAGATTTGTTAACAAGTGTTATCAGTAGGGAGAGGTCAAAATTTCTCTAAAAATGCGTTTTATAATTTACGGACAGCCCATGAACTGTTTATCTTTGCACTTAACCAAAGTAATAGCTATGGTTTTTCCGGGTCTAGTTTCAAACGTTGACTGATTTAGTTGTAAAATATTTATTTTAAGAAATGCCGAAAGTAGTAAGTAGGAGGGAAGATTTAAGAACACTAGTTGCAGGATGTCCGAAGGTATCTGATGGAACTATCTTGAGATATAATATTTGTGACGTGAAGATCGCTTTTGATGAAAAGTTCAATTCGGAACTTGATAAAAAGCATACTTTGATCTCGAGATGCGTAAACGGAAACGAATTAAAGCAAAAAAAAAAAAAACGAAAAATAAATTTATTTCAAAAACCGTGGCAGAAATTAGTCATAGTGCCGATTCTAGAAACGAATTATTTTCACCTTTAGCATCAGCTTTTTATATTCTGGAATCCTTCTAAGTAAAGTTAGCCATTCAAGTTTGAAAAATCTTTTGGACAGATAAATTGGCAAAACCGTTCCTGATGAAAGTACTTTAAGAAAATGTTATGTTCAATCAGTACATGCAAAAACTATCAGTAAGATAAAAGATATCGGAGATAACCCTTTTTGTTTCTTGTGGACGAAACAAATGAGATGGAACGGTTAGTTTTGGATGATTTAGTGGCTCCATTAACAGGCAAACTGTGGATACAATACTTTTAAAAATATACAAGCTGCCAAAGTGTAATGCTGTTCATGTAAAGCAGGCATTTAATGATGCCTGCATGAAACCGTGGCCTGATGTCATTAAATACCAAAACGTATGGACCCTCCTAACAGACCAAGCATCTTACAAGCTCTCAGCTTTCAGGAATTTAAAACCAATGCTTGTCAACTCGAATCAGATTTCATGCATAGCACACGCCCTTAATTTGGTGTGTGAATCAATACGTGCTAAATATCCCAAAGCAAACATATTTATTTCAGAGATTTAAAAAAATTTAAGGAAAGCGCCATCAAGAGTCGCTGTGTACCATGAAGTCATACAGTTCTCCTGTCACCCCGATCTGGTCATCAGAAGATGGGGAATATGGATAAGAGCTACTAGTTTCTATTGCAAAAATTTTGAGAAAATCAAAAAAATTTACTTTGCATGTAGAAGATTCTGATTCTGTTGCAGTTGGTCAAATTAAGAACTTAGTTTTAGACGCTACTGTCCAGGAAGAACTGTCATGTTCATACGAATTCGTTTTTGCAATCACCGAATTAGAAAGGAAGGATCTTCAAAAAGAAAAGCAATGGGGCTGTTTTCCTCAGTATAAGAGTTAAGTTAGATCAGTGTTTTTCAACCTTCTTGAATACTCGACCCCTTTACAAGTTAAAAAATTCTGGCGACCCCCCTAGGGCCATATTAAAACTTTATCAGTGATTTAAAAAACTATGTATTTAATTTTCTTTCTGTTGAGACAAAGTATTGTTGATTAAAATGTAAATTTCAGAAGAATCGACAATAATTTAACGCATAAAGTATGAAACTTCCTTTAATTATAACATTACGCACAGAGAACTGTTGACCTTTTTTTTTTAGGATCTGAATTTTCAGCTTCTACTTTTCTACTTTTTATTTCCTTTTGCAAATCAGCTCAACACTTTTTCCGCTACCATTTTCTGGGGTGGGCCGTAATTCTCGCTGAAATTGTAGTTTTTTTAATGTAGTGTAGGACCTACAAACACTTGTCTTTTTCTTCTACCCGCGACCCCCCTGGGGGTCGCGACCCACAGGTTGCAAAACACTGGGTTAGATGATTTGCCAAGCAAAAACTTGAAAAGAACTTGCTAACAATCCAGACTTGAAGGAGGTCGTGGAACGGAATGATTTATAATTTCGAGTCCAGACCAGGTACTGCCGCTAACATCTGTGGATGTTGAACGATCTTTTTTTGCATACAAAAATATCCTTTCTTGTAATCGCAAAAAAATATATATATATTTGAAAATTTGGAAATGATTACCTTATCCCTGTTAATTCATTCCTTTTGACAAATGATTGTGATTTAAGCGACAACGATATGTAAGTAGAGTATAAAAATGAATGACCTGTGAAAAATATACTATATCCTACAATTTAAATAAAAGTTTCTAGATGCTTAACATAATTCTAGCACTAATCCTCTGCACCATTTTTCCTTTTTTTTAGCACTCTGCACTCTTTATTTTACACTTTTTAGCACCCTAAAATCGTATTCTTAACGATGACCAAATGCAAGAAAATACTCGAATGCAAGCACGAATGTATGGATGGACAACACGAATGAATGGAGGCGAATACCTAACATTCGTAACGAGTAAACCATCCACACTTCTAGGTATCAGCCAAATGTGTGCTCCGCGTTTGACAAATAGCGAATGTCTGGACACTATTTTGAACATTTGTAGATATATCAGTGTGTGAATCCATATTTTTTACATGAAATCCGGAGCACGTTTCGATCCTGTAGGATGTCGAAAGCCTTGCACCAAAAACAACTTTAGTTCATATTAATGTTTATTTGTATCTAAGTTTTAGAGATACAGTATTATAAAATAAAAATAGGATAAAATAAAAGAACAAATTTAAGTATGCAACACTTGACTTTTCGACCGTTAACAAACAACTGAAAGTGAATTCCCACTATACCGATTATACTTGACGTATCAAATAACAAAAATTTCTGTTGCTATAGATACTTATTAAATTGTGGAAATAATTTATCGGGCATAAATGACGATTTATTTAATTCGAATGTCATCTGACGGAAAGGATCTCAACAAACTGTTGTAAAACCTAACAACGAAGCTCAGTTCCACTTAAAGCGCTTTAAACAATACGTTCAGTTTAGGAACACGAGGTATTAATTTCAAATTTCAGCTGCTTTTTTACTTCACTTAAAGTGCTTCTTCCGGACTGTATTTCAATGGCGACACCGACCGGAACCTATAAGTTATATAGAAAACTAGCTTTGAAGATTGTAGCTTCTTATAGTATTAATATCTGATATTGGCGGAGAACATAACATGATATCATCTTTACATTAGTAAACGTACAGATACTTGATATCAACAACATTAATATTTAAAAACTGTGATGCTATTTCCGAAATGTAGACAACAGACTTTATATGAAACCATCATTATTTTATCGGGGGCGAAAATCATATTGGGTAGTGTTATTAAGAGCTATATTTAAGTCATTAGTAAATTTTCTGGGTGGGTAACTTATGCTTTTAAGTGAAAAATGGATATTATGTATTCAAAATTTTTATATTGTCAAATGAGTATCTCTCTTTTAATTTTCAAGTTATTTTGTAATTATTTATTAATACATAAACAAGGATGATAGTTCTAAACTTTCTACGATATGTGCATGATTAATGAATTTTTCTTTGGCTCGAAATCCTTATGTCCGAAAATGAAACACCACATTCCGTTGGTGTATTTCCATATATTAAAAACAACACAAGGTATTAATGCCTTACGAATTTACTATTTTTGAACAATTTAGAGAGGAGTAGAGCAAAAATAAAATATAATAAGAATTAATGCATTTGTTTTGCTAAATTATTGATAAATTGAAATCATAATTGATTTTAATTTTATTTTAAGATTAATAATAGACAATAGAATAATCTTAATTTCTTACTATTAATGAAAATTTTTCATTATGATAAATATATTTTATATACAAATATATAATAATAAATCTTTAATATATACAGGACTTAAGCCATGTTAATACAAAATTACAGACAAATGTTACTAATTCAAACATTAATTACGCCGATTTCCACTCGAACTAAAATAATTTACAGTGGTAAAGGTTTTTATTTTAAAGTTTTCAAATATTTAATATTAAGAATACATTATTTTATGTAAAATAAATTAATATTGTGTTATTAATGTTATTTGTTATGTAAGTTGGCTATAAAATAAAAATAAGAGAGAGTTCTTCTCCTAACAAAATGTTTTATTTATAAATTAAGCTTAATTTTATTCGCATTCTGCTTTTATATGATTTTTATTTTATTTAAAAATGATAAATTTAAAAAAATAAAAGTTTTCCCATACTGTAGAACTACTTGAACGAACATTTAGTTAGTGTTTATTCTTCACAATCTCAAACTTTATTATAGCATTCTCTTTAGAAAAGAAAGAAAGTAAAAAAGAAAAAAGATTCAAATGAATGAAATCTGGTATTTATGAATGAACTGACGTAAATGGCTTAATGTATCTGTATATTTTCTGAGAATAAAAATAATTTCAATGCAATTACAATTTACAATTCCAAATCTGTACGCAATTAAATAACTTATAAAACAAAAACCTGTAATTACATTATATTACATTATATATAGATCTGTAGTGAAAGTAAAAATGAATTATTCGGTTTAACAGTTTTTATACACTTGAATCATGTTTTTTATACACATAAAAAACAAGAAAGTTTATAACTTTTTATGCCTTGTGTACATTGTTATGTGTGATATAAAATAAACAATACGATAACTTTGATTATTATAAAATCGATGAGAAAGTTTTAGAATAATTTACAGTTTCTCTTACAAGGTCTTAGAATCGTAATAACTTAATAAGGTGGCAAAATGTGACGAATTGTATTAAATAAATTTATTAAAAAAATATATAAGCGATCTCCGAAAAAAGATATTTAATAAAATGTTTAAAAATAATTTTTCAAAAACAAGCTTACTTTTTACATTTAGGAGAAAGTTTATCCTTCTGGAAGGCGGAACATATAGCACCCATTTTCTTCTATTTTGGAATTAAAGCATAGTTTTTTCTGTAAAATTTCAAAAATATTTGTTAAATCCGGATCAAAAAACATCGTTCTTCTCGAAATCTAAAGAATATCCGAAAAGAGAAAATGAGCTAAAAATAAACTTTATCAACGAAAATCTCAAATACTTTGCCAAGAAAAATGTTTTAATGTCAGAAAATGTTTCAATGTTCGATAAAACAAAATTTACCAGCAAAAACTCGTTGTGTTTTAATGTCATTTCTTATTTCCGAACGTAAAAAATTTCGATTAAATAATTATAAACTACATTTATTCTTATTCTGGATACGAGAAAAGTCGTTGTCAATTATTTTTCGATTTTCTATTAAATCGTTCATCTCTTTCATTAAGTCTAAAACGCAAAAAAAGGTGACCTTTTGACCTAAGATGAGCCGTTTCATCGCTGTTCTGCAAGGAAGACTCGGTTTAAATCGCTCTAATTATACATTTTCATGCTGATGAAAGTCTATGGCTCACTTCCAGCCTGTTGCAATCGAGTTAAAAATATTTTTCGTTCACTTTTACAAATTTATGATTTTACTATCGGCCTAATCCCATCAACAACATAAAGTTTAACTACAGTATAGAGCCGTAAAAAGCAATAACTGTACTTAAACTTTCGCTAATCGCTAAGTTGTTGATAATGTTACCCTCGCTATATATAGAAACGAAACGCGGCTTTGGAAGCAGTGAATGTCCTATTCGAAACTTCATCTTTTTTTTCTTCTTTTGTAAGAAAAATACAATATATAAATAAATATAAATGATAAAATTTGATTTTTTGTACAAAACAAAAAGATTAAATTATAATTTTAAAAAATTCGGTTACCTTTTTTGGAAATTTTTACCGTTTTTTTTTTTTTTTTATCTGGAATTGTCCGGTCTAATAAATTATAAATATCGAAGTCGGTTCAATGGCATAAAATATTAATATAGTTTGATTAAAATCCGGTTAAGTGACTGAGTAAAATTAAGTTTTGTTATATACTCGAGTTCAAATTTAATGTCAAAAATAGATGCCCTTTGAATCCGGCAGCGTCACTCAACGGGAATTTTTGTAATTAAATCATTTTGAAATTTTTTAGATAAATTTATTTCCCCTCTCATATATTAATTTAATAAAATAATACAAATAAACAATATTTTATTATTTTAATATACAAAAACCGTTTTATATTTACGATAATTGCTATCAAATAACTTTATTTTACTAATGAATAATGATATATAAATGCGCCTAAAGAGAAATAAATATATTAGAAATTCTTAATTTCGTATTTTCGTATTTACGTTATTAAAAATTTATTCGCAGGAAATTTTAATGAGAATAATTTTTCATATTTTATGTAAACAGGCAGAGATTTGGCAACACTGTCCACGTAGCAATCGTGTTGTTTACAAAATGGCGGATGAGGGGATTGATTCTATCGACAGGGAGAAAAACGATTCGCAAAATAAAAATGAAAGAGAGAAACTGGCGAGGGAATTATCGGGCGATTATGCCAAATATATGCATTTGGACGTTACCAAACAGGTATAGCAAAATATTTCACTTTATTTTTATTAAATGTTTATATGAATTATCTAGAAAGAAACACATTATTTAATGTTTCGTTATAACAGAGCAACACAGTACAACCATATTGTATTTCAATATTTTTAGTGAATTAAAATTCAGTCTTTAATTATGCCCTAATAAAAAATAGAAAAGCACCACTCAGAAGATTTCAACTTTTTATCTTTGATTGTAAAGAAATGAAAATAGAAAATTTAGATGGTCTTTGAAAAAAAGGAGGCATGCTATAATACATCGCTATAATTAAATTCAAATAAAGCAGTAATCTGAACTGTGAAGAAAATTAAAACTGCTTCTGGTGATGAAGATATCTTGCAACAGAGAAAACATTCTCATTTCATTGTGATGAAGAGGAAGAAAGTTAAATGAATGTATATTATCTGAAACACATACATTTTACAAAATATAATACTTTTAAAAATAGTAATATGTAAACAAGTAAGTTCCCTATAGTTGTAAAAATAAAATTGTGTATTTTTGTTAGCTTTTGAAATGTAATGCCACTCGTACCGGTTCTTATAGTCCCATACGTCGTGTTGCTAAAAAAGTCTAATCTGGTTTTATAGTTACCTTTTCGACTGTTAATTAGTTTTGTTATTTATGTTCCAAATTTAGACTGTCACAGAAATTTGTTTAAAAATATAACTGTGTAATATGAAAACAGATGTCAAAATGTCAGCTTCAGATATAGTTATTTGAGCCCGCTTCTTTATGAATTTAAACTTGGGACAAATGTTGCGCAAGCATCGGGGGATGAATCTCTCAAAGATATATTTGTTGGCAAAGGAAGGCCAACGGTCGTTGATGGCAATGAATTAAATAATGTCGTGAGTCGAGGATGTGGACAGCTTCCAGAAATATTTGGTGTGAACAATGAAACCATTCATTTGCACTTGCATTGACTGGATAAAGAATACAAAATTATCAAATGATTCCATACAAACTCATGGTAGAAAACAAATTCCAAAGCTCTTCTTTCTTAATTCTTTCTTGTTATAAGAACAAGCCATTTTATTACTATCTTCTGGGAAACCTACACCTTCCATGTTAAAGCCAGCATTTCATCAACAGAAATTTTGTTGTGTATTTGGTGGAATGTAACAAGTATTGCAAGCTTCAGGCCAAATAATCACTAGGAAAGTTAACTCTGCTCAGCTCAGTGTGTACACGAGAAGCTTATCCAAAAACAGCTGGCACTGATTAATTGAAAAGGTATTGTTTCTTCACAATAAAGCCAAACCTCAGACTTCAAGAGTGGCTTAGGAAAAGTTTCACAGCTCTTTATTGAGAAATTTTACCCCACCCTCCATATTCACCTGATTTTTTTATCTGATTTTCATCATTTCTTATCACTTGACAATCATATGTATAGCCAACAGTTTCAAAATTGAGAGGGATTAGAAAAGGAATGGCTTTTTCCTTCTAAAGACAAAGAATTTTTCAAGAAGAGAATTTATAAGCTTGTTTCTCATTGGAAAAAGTTGTTATGAGAGTGTGTATTTTTCAGAATAAAATATCCTTGTTTTATTTTCACAATTTATTTTTACAAATGTTTTACTTTATTCTTAAAAAATTGCTCAACCTTTTTTGGTTACTGATAACATGGTTTTTCCCAGAACAAGATTTCATAGGAACTTGACTACTTTATTATATGAGGACTATCTGTCCCATTAAGCTGGAAATAAATGCACTTTATGTCTACATAATTATTTTTAATCTCCTAAAGGAAAACATTAATTTTAATACCTAATTTAGATACTGTTCCAATTTTTTATTTTTATCAACTTTTCAAATCATTCAGCACTGTAAGAAACAGGAGCTAAGAATAGTTCTTGGAGCTAAGGTTTCATTGCACATGTAAGGCTGACTTATAACCTTAATGCAATATCAATGGTGCCACCTGAAATAAATTCTCACTGTTTGTCCTTCCTTAATCTCAAGAATGGAATTAGATATATGAAAGTCAAGACCAGATGTGGAAAGTTTGGGGGCAGGAGGCCCCAATTAACTATATATGAATTTTTAGTCTGGACCAGAAGTCACATGATTTCAATTCAATTTTCTCCAGGATGGAGTTAGATAGATGACTGGCATGACTATTGTATTGATGTACAGTGGCAAGACACGACTAAAATCAAGAGCGTATATTTTAAATTAAAAATTGCAGCCCAGCATTGTGACAATGTCACAATAACTTTGTCAGTTTTTACTCTGGGAATTTGATATATTCCAGATCAAGTTATTCAGATAAAAATTTTATATATTAAACAAAGATGTAAAACCCCATAAATTTAGATATAGCACAATTGTTTATTGGTTCCCATCTTCCACATTTGTGCCTTTCTCTTTTTGGTATACAGTTAGAGAAACTATCTTTGCTTAAATACATTTTTGACAGTACATTACTTTTTTATAATCAAGGAAAGTACCATATTGTCAAAAGTCTACTACTAATTTAATTTTTCAATATAATATTAACATGAAAAGTGAAAACTTAATGTAGTAAATAATTAAATCAGTTTGCAAAATGGACTTTTATTGTCCAAAGAAAAATTAACTGCTCTGGATTAATTTTATTTATTTTCATTTTTACTACAAACATTTTTTTCTTTTTTTAAACTACAAATTTTTTCTTCATATGGTAACTGAAAGAGACCACCTTACAAACATTTTTCATTAACCAATCTTGCAACAATGTGACTAAAAGAATTCACTCTACTTATTGCATTTCGATGGGTTTTATTGTAGTTGCAAAAAAGCAAAATTTTTCCATAACCAAAGATATTTTCTTTTAATTTATTTAACTAATATTTACAAATTTTGTGTTAAAGTTTTATATAAAACTGTTAGCATGGTCAAAATTGATTAATCACTAATCTGTTCTGATCAGAATTTTGAGTTACCTTCTTGTTTGCATGATGTTTTATAGTTACTGATTATTAGGATTTTTAAAAGATTTTTCTTCAGAAGCAGGTACTTGAAGAAAACATTGAAGATATGTTAACAAGAATGGATGAGTATTGTGGATTGATTGATATGGTAAGTTTTGATCTTATATATTTTATATTTTGTATCTTTATTAATATAATAACTTTAAAAGATTATGAAACACATTACAACAACATATTATTTTTATATTGACATCTGTTATTAATAATTTGTTGTTCTGATGATAAAGTAAATATATGAGATTTTGAATTATAAATATAAAATGGAAAAAAGGAAGTACAGCAGAAGTTTGTTAATCTGACACCAATAATCCAGCATGCTATTCCACGAATCTGAATTCATTTGGACACATGGTGTGCTAAAAATACTACTGTAAGTCAGGCTGTTCTAGCCAATAATATGTTCATTGGCATTTTTGTACTTTTTCAATCTTAACACAGTATAGTCATGCACTGTATTATCTTCAGACTGACTAAAGAACATGCATAATCAAATGGGAAGCACTCAACAGTATAGGTAAAAAATATACAGTAATATCTACAACTTTTGAATCACACACAACTTAATGACTTTTGCAAAAAATACAAAAGCATCTAGTAATTCATTAATCTATTGAATAAACAAAAACATACCACTTTTTGATAGTGGTATTTTTTTTAAATCTTTAAAGCCAAATCAAAAGTGACCAAATAATGTCTAAATCCTAAGATACCAATTACATCTGGCCTATATTATTAAGACTGAGGAGAAAAAATTATTTTCACTTCAGATGTTTTCATGTGAACAATTTACTTTTATTCTCAAGAAGATAAAGAAAATTGCAAGAATGTAGAAAGGAATGCAAATGCATGGTTAGAATCTTTATTTGATATTTTTTCTGGCAAATTAGATACATTGAATTTGTTTAATGAGACTAAGGTTTTCTTTCTACAAATTTTCATTAGGTGGATCTAAATTGTTCAGTTTAATGAGACCAACTTAACAGTTCAGCATTGCTTTTTTTTTATTATCAAACGTATATTTGTATTTATCATTTATTGCTGATGTAGCCAAATAATTTTTAAATAAATGATATAGCCATTGAAAGTTCATAATTAGCTTTACCACGGCTGATCCTATTTGTAGTTTCTTGCTTTTAATATTTGTTAACTCTGTTTAAGAATGAAAATAATTATATCATATTTTGATAAAACATATTCACTCTCAGGCTTTTGTTTTAGGAAACTTTATATATATCAAATTTTATTGTAAGTCAAAATTTCCCTAAATGCTTATGTAGCATTCACAACTATGTGCATTGAATTTGATTGAAGCAAAAAAGAATAAACATGTAAACAGAATTATTTTTGAACTTATTTGCAGTTTTTATTCATGGAAAAAAATTACAAAAGTGTGCTTTGAAATACATAACAAAATGATTAAGACAAAATGTTAATACAAACAACTTGCAAAAAGATATAAGAAATGCAAGATTGATAGCATGATGCCATTTTCCATCAATCTTACCCTTCTAATATTATTTTTGATCAAGGCCTAGTGACGTGGAACCAGTGGTTATTTTTTATAATCATGTTTTTTTTTTTTAAGTTGCATTAGACAGATAAATTTCAATTTATGTAAATTTTTACTAATTGGTGAATTAACTATACAATGCTTGAAAAAACTGAAATTTTTAACATTTATTACAAATTTTGTCTATCTAATTTATATATAATATGTAGTACTATGTACATGTACTGTACAAGTATAGCATGTCTATAAGCAGTGTATAACTTTTGTATGCTTTTTGTTTCATTTTTTAATACTTTGATTGGCATATTTATATTTAAAAATCCAATTTACAATTGCTTATTTAATAAATAAATATCTAAAAATCAATAAATTTTATTATTAAAAATAAAATTATGTATCTTGAAATTTTATTTCGTTTTCTTAAATGATAACATAAAATAATCACTTTTTAACTATTTTAACAATCACTGCTTAATTAAATTTTGGAAAAATTTAAATGACGTAACTAAAATTTATTATATCAATTTATAATTGGATATCTAATACATTTAAACTACAAATAAATCTTATTTTTCAATTTCAGGTAAGAAGTGATGGAGCATTGTGTTTTGGCCACACACTTCCAGAAATTTATGCCAAAGTCTGCGATTTAGAAAAATTATTTGTTAAGATAGATAAGTTGCAAGTGAGCCACTTGTAATTTAAAATATAATCAGTTTTTCCTTTCTCTTTCATATAGATAAATATTTAATAAAAGAATTTCAATAATTCTAGTTATTCATCAACATGATACAAAAAAATCTGGATGTGATGGAAGAAAGAATGAATGATGCAGAGTGCCAACTAAGTAACAGTTCTGTAAAGAAATTGTTTACATCCTTGCAGAAACCTCTTTTTTCTGTATGTTTTATTTTATTTTTTTTCAGTAATTTTTAAAAAGATTGTCTAGAACTTTTGATTTCTTTTGCAGAAAAAGAACCCTTCTCCAGATCAAAAAATTTTACAGTACGAGCCACCCGAGTTATTTGAAACAGCCAACTATTTTTCTGAAAACCAGAACGGATACACACGTGCCAAAACTAATAACTTGAATAACGAGAACAAACCCGAAACAGAAAATGATACCGAAGAGATCGTGTAAATTTGTGGATAGTTATATTTATATATACAGTATAAGATTCTTCTAATATGATTCATATGCTGAATCATATTGGAAATTTGATGCTCGTAGTGTAAGAATCTAATACACTAAACCATATTAAGAAGTGTTTACATCATAAACGTACATTTATATATAAAAATTTGTAATTAAGCGTACAAAAATAAAATTACTAATCTTTTAAACTATAAAATTATTTAAAAATTAGAGAGTACCATTAAATACACGCAAANATACCGAAGAGATCGTGTAAATTTGTGGATAGTTATATTTATATATACAGTAAATAAATAAATATATATATATGTACGTATCTTAACATGTAAATATAATGTATATCAGTACAAATGGTGTAATTCAAAATTTTAAAATATGTTAATTTTTCCATTCTTTAAATTAGTGTAATTTAATAGCACTTGTAAAAAGAATTGTGGTTTATCTCAAGGAAAAAATTCAATTTTAGTATTTATTTTTCCTGATTTATTCGAATAATTCACAATCAAACTTTTACATTTTTAAAACTAAGTTTGTTAAAATCAAATTTTAATAAACAAATTTTAAACTTTACTTTTACTGTATTGTCCTTTTATCAATTTTATAAATATTTTGTTGCAAATATATTAATGTTAGTGCCTATTATTATACTAGCATCATTTTGAATGATAAATTGAGTTTCCGTAAGCTTATCGTAAAACTTCTATTACGGCTAATTGTTATAGTAATTTTATTACTGGTGACTAAAAGCAAGTCATTTGCTTTGTCACAAAAATCTGACTGTTACTGATTGTTAGCTTCTAACAACATTAGTTTGACTGAAAGCAAGATAATTTTCTTGATCAGGAAGGTCAGTACTTATCATCATTAATTATAAGTGAAATAAAAGCTATTTAGAGTAGCAAAAACGATTTTTATATGCAGATTCAGTGTATTTGACACGCCCATTTATTCATATTATAGTGTATTAGGTATTTAATTTCGTGTTGGAGTATTTTAACTTAATCTTTAAAGAAACTACATTTTATAATGGATCTGTGCAGACATCATAATTTAAAATAAACCTCCCTTTTTTGAAATTCGAAACGATTGGAAATAGAAAAAGCCTAAAGTTCCGAATAAAATAAGCTTTTTCTACGTTCGAGAATTGAATAACTGCTAAATCCATCTCTGCCTTTTAGTTCAGCTCGTTGATCTGGATTTTAAAAATATATTCAATCGAATTTTACTATCGGGAGATATACTATATTCTAACTTACGATCTGCCAATCGATTCCCATGCAGTTTTATTTATTTAAGGAATAATAATGCGTACGAAAATAATTCTTTTTAGCCATTATAATAAACTTGTACGTGTAGGAAATTTAAGATTTTGACGCGACATTTGCTCTGCTGTTATTTTAAAGTTGTAATATTCATAGAAAATGTTTCGATTTTGTAATTTAGAAGAATTTTGTTTACTTGGAATTGATTGCCATAACGAACGAGTAAGAGAAAGAGCGATACAATCTACCCTTTATGTTCCCTGATAAGATGGTTTCTAGTGCAGAAATTCAATCATTTCCTGGAAGTTAATCAAGGAAAGTCGAATCGTTCAGCTTCGATTCATTCTAATGAATACTTTTATCCACTTTATAATTCATTTTAGAGTTTTAAACAACAGAATCTTACTTAACTCGTAAATCTTATTTAAATTTATTAAATTTTAAATACTTTTATTTAAGTTATAATTTTTAATATAAAGTTTTTTTTAATACTGTAATTTATTTAAAATTTTTATATTAGGAATTAGGAAAGTATGAGTCAAAATGCTAATAAGAATAATCTACGGATTATATTTATTTTAGAATAATTCTACTATACAATACAACATTGATCATATAATATATAACAAACATTCAACAAGTAAACTTTTAATATGGACTATATATTATAATTTGTTGATGAGAGATGATGAAGAAAAGGAACATATTTTTCATAGTTACCACTAAGATAAGGCAAAAAACAAAGAAAAAAACAAAAAAAGACAAGTCACATCTACACATCTCTGGGTACAAATGGTCTTGAGGAAAGGAGCCCCTTCCTCGCCAATAATGCCACATTTTTCTTTTGAAGACCGCTCAAATCTAAACCTAAGAGATTCTCTTCCTCGGGAGTTATGATTTCTTCTATATTTTTTTTACATTTCTTAGTTTTTCCCACGTCTTTCTGGATTCTTTTGTCGGTAGAGGATTTAGCCGATCTGTAAGGAGACCAGAGATACATTTCCTGATTTTTTGTCCTCTTATCGCTAAACCACTGAGGACGAAATCCTCTGAGAGGTGGCAAACGACCTTTACGAGCCAATGCCGCGATGTATCGTTTTTCGCGTATGCTATTAGTCTTTTCTTCCATGCATTCCGTATCCTTATCTTCATCTTCTCTGTTTAATCCGTAAGGCCAGCTTTTCGCTTGAAGTCTTCCCATTCTCGCTAATGCTGCTATATTCCTCTTACCGGGATTGTCTTCGTTTTCTAAATCCCATCCTCGTGTCATACTATGAAACGCTGAAAGCGGGTGACCTCGAGATTTCAGGAAAGCCCCTATATGACGTTTTTGTTCCGTAATTAATTCTGGTGGTTTCAATTCCGATTCGTTCTGTTTATCTCCCGAAATAAACTCCGTTTGATCAATATTTCCCGTTGAATCGTTATCGGAATCGGATCTTTTTCCGTTGAAATGAGCGGAAGGGAGTCTTCCGTTTTTTGCCATTGATGCTAAATGACGTTTATCTTTCTCTACTAAATAATCGGGAAACTCGTTCTGCCAGTTTGGATCCACGGCGTAATCTTCCATAGCCAAACACTTGAACACCTGCCATTAAAAATAGACGATTAACTTTTAAACAATAAACATAAATTTAATCTTTAGAATTAAGAAGTTTTCTTAAGAATGAAAATATTAATACTAAAGTATTTAGAATATTTTACTCTTAAATAGCCTACAGTATTGTTTTTTCTTAAGCGACATACAAAAGCTTTGTATTTTCTATTGTTTTAGGTCTTTGTACTTTGTACTATTGTTAAATAAGGAAGCTCCACTTTCTATTATTTTAACCTTTTATTCTTTGAGATTTAAAAAATGCTTAGTTATATGTAGATTATATCTACTTCCCATTAATTGATAAACACTCGAAACAATACAAACGGTATCTATATTTTTCTATTGATCTATAAAGTCCCACAAGGTACAAATATTTGTATAGAGACTCTATAAAACTAAATATTTATTAAATTAATATAAACTTTACAATTTGTCTAATTAAAAAAACTCCAATACATAGTATAAATTACAAATAATTAAAATTATTATTTAGAAAAAAAAAACAAAAATAAATGTACAGAATTCTCAAAGTTAAATAAATTTGGCAGAAAAAATAAACACACACTATAAACACCTAGAAGATTGGAAAAATAACTTGAAAGACAAAGATACAATTAAATTAAATATAAAAGAAAAGATACCGTAAAAGCATCCGAGAATAGAAAAAAAAAAAAAAGACTTTGATATGGTGACAGAATCAATTAGCAGTTAAAACATTGTTTTCTTTTACTTTCCCGGCTCTGTTATATATAACAGAGGGAAAGTATGGCGATCGGTCAAAAAATGACCCCCAAGATTTTTACATTTTTGGATTCGGGACACTTTAAAACGTCTAGAAATGCAAAATAATTCGGGTTTTTTTTTCTGTATGTGTGATTGTTAGTATGGGGGGCCGCGGTTTTTTCATCGTGTTTGAAGCTTAATAACTCTTTGCGCTTTTTGTCGAAATTTCTACAATTTTGCAGGGAAGTTATTGTATTAGGGGGATTGATTCTGTTAAATTTTGGTGGTTATAGGTCGAGGAAATCATATGTCGTATCTCGAGTGGGATAGGACTTAATGACAGTTTTACAATTTTTTTTATTATACTCATCCATACCATCAAAATTAAGCTTTTTACCGTGTTATNAGTTATTGTATTAGGGGGATTGATTCTGTTAAATTTTGGTGGTTATAGGTCGAGGAAATCATATGTCGTATCTCGAGTGGGATAGGACTTAATGACAGTTTTACAATTTTTTTTATTAAACTCATCCATACCATCAAAATTAAGCTTTTTACCGTGTTATAATAATCAAAAATATAAAAAAAAATTAAAAAAAAAAAATATCGTAACAGATGTTGCCGGTAAAGTTAAGCAACTCGTTGCTGGAATTTTTTTTATATTTATTTTATCGTTAGATCACCTATGTGGGAAATATAATGTATTTTTGTAAATACAATTTATAAGAAAACAAAGTAAATAACGCATACATATATTGAATCACTTTAAACTGTTTACGATAAGATGAAATGGAATAATGTTATTTTAACCGAATTTAAAAATAATAAGTAGAAACCATACGTAATATATAATGCATGGTGTATGTATTAGTAAACATATTGAAAACAACATATATTACTGTTATTTTTTCCTTCCAAGTATTTTTATCGTAGTAAACACATGAAAGTCTTTGATATTGGAAAATAACTTTTCCAGTTGCTGATATCAGCTACTGGAATTACCTCTTAACATAATATACAACTTATTTAAATTTTTCTATCTGAAATTTAATAAGAAAAATCACCATTCAATCAATGTATTATTATTATCATTTTTTCCCTTTATATTAAAAGATATAATTTTACTAAAATCTAATTTTTCCGGGGAGAAAATTAAAAAAGAAGAGGGAAAAAAAGGTTACAATTTTAGATTATATTAGAAAAAATTGAAAATTTATTGGTGAAAGAATTGAATTCCTTCGCGTATAAGCTTAAAAAATTGCTATATGTCAGCAAATTTTAACTTTACTATTATATATTTTTCTGTATTAAAAATTATTAAATTCGAGCTGAAACTTTTCACCAAATATCTCCAAATATATAAAGAATGCAAAAAATTTACTAATCTTGTTTGTCTAAATAAATAATTAAAATGAACGTTTCCTCGATAAAAATCTAAGAAAATATTAAAAAATAGTAGGCCAATTTATTAAAAAAAATAATAAGTACAAAATAAATAAAATCATAGAATAAACTGGAGAGTTGTTGGAAAAATAAAAATATAATAAATGATTTTTTGGATAATAGATTTAAGTTCTTATTCTTAACTCATTAGTTTTGTTATGGACGATAGACGAAATTAACTGTGCTTAACGTATAAGAAGATGGTTATGACTTCCCCCTGACCTTGCAGTGTTAATATAAGTCGTTATCTGAGAAGAAGTTCAGTAAGAAAAATGATCCTTCTTCCCAACCGCTCATTTTTCTGCCAGAGTATTATTTATATTAGTCATGGTAGACACGTGACTGTAGAAGACATTTCCGGATTGATATTACCTTTTTACTATCAGCCTTTAACTTGACGTTTTATCTGAGGTATTTTCTTATGTACCCTGACACTTCCGTAATTGGATGAGTTAATTGCCTATTAATCATATATATATATCGTTATAAACGACGTTCGTTAGGTAAAAGTTTTCGGTTAACGATGTGTGATCGAATGTCAGTTTAAATTGTGTTTTATTACTTGTTTAGTATCATAATTACACATTATAATGAACCTTCGTGTAGTGGGTAAGTTGAGAGAAAATTTCGTGTAAATAAGAATGCGGGCTACACAAATAAATTGCCAAAGTTTCCGTAAACAAAAAGTCTAAACTAGATTCAAATGAAACGAAAACATTGGCGCGTTACAGCTTCGTGGGGCCCAGGCAAATTTTAATTAGGTGCCCCTTGTACAGTGTTGACTTCAGACATTTTCGTTCGGGGGAATGTACTAGGGGAAATATAAAAGATTGATTTGGAGCCCCACATCAATCTTTGAAATTGGACTCGGGAAATTGCCTTATTTTTACCATAGGATAACGCACCATTGTACTTAAATAGTTTGTAAGTTGTTTTGGAAAGTAGTAGTATCGATTTTTAGGCTAATCCACACGATTTAAAATAGATTTAATTTATTTAAACTTTGTGAATGAACTTAAATGTAAATTTTCCAAAAATTTTCATTTAAAATAACGTCACAAAGTCATACTCATATAATAATAAGTATAAACTTAAAGACTAAAAGGCTCATTTAATTTAAGAACGTGTACGCTTAAACGTAACTTGCTCAAACATTAATTTAAATAAAAAATTATTTTTAATTATAGTTTTTTTAAAAAAAGAATATTTTACTAAAAATATAAATTAGAATTGTCTTTTAGAAGAGAAATGATGATTAATAAATTAAAACAATGTTTGGAAGTTAATGAAGTAAGAGAGAAAATATGTTAAAACTTCAGTTAAGATCATAAAGGTCGTATGAAAATTCAATAAACAGTTGTGAGATATTCGATAAATGCATACCAAAGTCTTAACTATACTTTAGCTAGGAAACGTTAATGAAACAATTATAAATTGTAGAACATAATTATATATTTATACGTTTAATTTCGACTTAAAGGCATTCAGACAATTCGACAGTATGCGGTTTAGAAAACTTTAAATTGGATTTATTATTATTATTTTTTTTAAATTCTCCTATCTATCATAAAACTTTCTTTACAGTACTTTTATTTAAAGAAATGCCACGACAGATGTATACAATTGGCATGTTTTTTTTAAAAGGTTTGAACCCGTTTCTTCAAACTTAAAGATATATAAACCTTTGAGGATCCAAGTTTAGATATTTCACCAATCTTTTGCAGCTGTTGAGCATATACTTCTTCTGTTGTTGGGGCATAAACAGATCTATTTTCCAACAAACAACCTCTTTCCTTCAATCTTAGGTCTCCGTTATCAAAAAGTTTCGATCGAATTATCGATATTTGTAGAATGGAGCTATTAGTTTCTAGCTGCAACACTTGATGCCAAATACAAATTTTATGTAATAAAACATGTCCTCAATAAACGGGTCACCTATCTGATGGTTCAATAAATCTCGTTTAAGTCCCTGGCACGGTTTAATAACTCGGAAACATTGAAAAATCCAATCGATATTTACTTTTTTTTTAATTTTTCCGTAAAATTGATATAAATTACTTCAAAATTAAAGGGGAAAAAACGAGTGTTTTTGAATTTAAAACTGTTCAATTTTATGTTGTAAATTTTTTGTTCTTTGCATATGTTGTCGTTAACTGTAATGGAAGATTGTTTTGGTTGCGTGTTTGTACATTAAACTGGAGCGTGTTCTAAGCTTCCGAGCTCAAGTTTTGGTTAATGAAAGTGTTTGTGCTACTAGATCGATGAGCTTAGGTTAGTGATCGCTGATCGCTACAGTATTAACCTTTAATGGAAAACTCGATTCACAATAAGTGAAACGTTTCTCTAGTAGAAAACTTTGATTACAGCGAGTAGAAAAGACATTGAATTGTAAAAATTTTAAATAAAACAAAGCAAGATTGCCGTATATTAAACACACATACACTTAAAAAAACTTTCAAATACCATGAAAAACTTCAGCATTTATGAACAATTATTCCGATAGAAAATTACTCAGAGCTCGTGTGTTATCTGTGTTTATATATACAGTATAAGATTCTTCTAATATTATTCATATGCTGAATCATATTGGAAATTTGATGCTCGTAGTGTAAGAATCTAATACACTAAACCATATTAAGAAGTGTTTACATCATAAACGTACATTTATATATAAAAATTTGTAATTAAGCGTACAAAAATAAAATTACTAATCTTTTAAACTATAAAATTATTTAAAAATTAGAGAGTACCATTAAATACACGCAAAATGATTAAATTAAGAATATCTTGTATCTATTATATAAGTAGAAAAACGTAGCTATTTCTGAAAAATTTCCAATAAGTCATTGGTATAAATATTTTTTCCATATTAAATTTGCTCTCAAATCTCATACACCACAGTATCATTTTCGAGAAAATATTTTCTTATCACTCAAAAATACCTTAATAACTTATACAAAAATATTTTCTTAGGTTTAAAGGCGAGAACTTACAAGAGAAATCTCCCTGGAATTATACAATTTTCCTAACGCTGTAGCAAATCTTATCACTTGTGCAATCATCTTTTATCTCTACTAAAAGTTAATAATAAATTATCTTCTCTCGCTGCGATATGATTAGTTATATTCTGTAATTAAAGTTGTGTTGTATGCGTCTTAAACACGTTACAACGTCGTAAAAGTATTTTGTCGTGAATGATCATAATAAATTGCAAAATTGCATTTTATCAATTAACCAACTTTGTTTAATTTACCTTAGCTCTATTGTCAAATTAAGAGGCGAGGAAATTACAAATTAAAGCACATCATTTCAACGAGATGAATGCTTACATTGCAACAATTCTTCTTCCTAATAGCGTTTTGTTTATTAATCTTAAATCTTTACAATGAAAATGACTAAACTATCTCTTACTAAAGTACCATTTAAATGATTAAGTGTTCCTAAAATCCACCCTCGCCAATGTTTTCTCCAATAAACCTACGCTCGAATTTACTAATTCTTTAGAGTTTTCTAGGAAATTTGTTCGGAAATAAATTAAAATTTGATACCACAATACATCAAATTCAAAAAAGAATTTAATAAAGAAGAGATTTTCGAAACTATTTTATTACAAAATTTACTGGAATTTAAGAAGAAAAAAAAACACCTCTTTGTTTTATAATTATTAAGAATTTTTGAACAACTACAATTGATTCTAAAATAATGAACACAGTAAACAAAATTCTAATGCACTCGCTCGATGGTTTAGTGTTTCGTGCTTAAGTCTAATTAAGCACTTATTCACTTAAAAAAAAAACAAAGAAATAAATGAAAATAAAACCGTAGGCTATGGGTGCACTATGATGTCTTTTAAAGATTTGCGGCCAACTTCACAAAAGAAAGATAAATCAATGTCAAAAGCTCGCCGATTCAGCATTTTTTTTATCGTCTCTGGTATCTACTTTCCAGTTTTCTTCCAGAGATTTTAACATTTTTACTTCAGTATTAACTCGATAAAAATATCTTTCGCGAGATCTGTAATTCACTCGCTTTTTCTTAAACCTATTAGTATAGTTAACGTATCTTTACACTATCAATAACCCATATTTATACCTATAAAGAATTAATCCATCAAATCCATTATTTCTTTATGTGTGACTTTTACTTCACGATTCTCTCTCTGTGTGTGTAGCATTATAAAGAATCTAAGTGCTACAGAAATAAGCATGATCTTCGACTTTCACCTCAGAAATGAATGCATCTGTTTCATTTCTACTAATACACATTCATTAAAATAATTCTAGGTACTGTATACTTACAATCCATTTAACATAGTATAACATTAACATTCGACGTATGAAGCTTGTGTTCTACTGGAACAATATGCTAAACTGCATACAAATTTTTTACATAAACTCTAATTTATGCTCTTTATCAATATGTAAATGCAACGATAAAAAACAAGGCTACAATTTTTAATCATATTTTTAATTAATTTAATTTAAAATACATGCTCTACAACTCAAATTAGTGGCTTGCCCCTGTAAATCACACTTTTCCCGTTAACAGCAATCATGCCTGTCAACGTTGTGGAGAAAATTTTTTGAATTGAAAATCACGTGATTTCAAATTACAACCCAATAAACCGTTTTAATCCAATTTAATTGAATAAAACAGAATATATTCTTGAATATTTTACATTTATCTTCATAAATAAATAAGTTATAGATAATCTAATCGCTTCAAAGTATCAAGACAACATTGGATTATCCATACAATTTTGGTTCTATTTTTCTAAAAATTTCTCAACCTTACTTTTAAATTAATTTTATTACATTTAGGAATGTGACTCGCGATCGACTAGTTGCAACTCGATATAAATTTACTCCAGTATCTTTTAACCTTTTTAGAAAAATTCAAAAAAAAAAACCTTTAAAAACNAGGCCTAAATACTATTCATATGATAAATTTAACAACAATTATATATTTTTTTAAACTTTTAATAACAAATTTAAAAAGTTTCCTTAGCATGCAATACCATTTTGAAACTTTTAAAAGTGCATTTAATGCATAAATCCTCCCAAAATTGAGTATGTTGGCACTTTGGAAGAAAATTATTAACGTTTAAAATATTCACGAATAATTTAAATTGGTCAGAATGAATAATTAGATTATTTAAAGAACATTCTTTGAATTTTTAATTAAATTACAGACTATGCATACTTATATATATATATATATATATATAACCTTATTATACTGAAAGAGATTCGTGATTAGAGATCGTTTCACGCGTGTAAAGATGTCTACAGAGTATAATTATCTCGTTATCTAGCAAAGTATCGCATCTATAAATCATTTCTAATCTTTTATTTTTCAATATTTCAAAGAGGAATTACGTGTCTCTAGAGTGGATAATCACAAAACGATCATTTTTCCAAGGATAAAACTGTACGATAATCTCTTAATTCTCCATTTAAACTCGAAGAAAATCAAAATGTAGATAAATAATAGTAAAAAGTTCTGAAAGACATTTTCATTTTTAAAGATTTTTCAGCTTTTGTAAAGTCAAAAATCATTGAAAATAAATCTCTCTTACTCCAAAGCTAGTCAGTGATGACAAGTTGAATATTCGTTGCCAAATATAACCTTGTGCAATATGTCAACAGCTGTGCAATTTGTAGACATATTGGAATTTTATCATCATAATCTCTGTTGTAATATGTCTTTTTCCTCAATAATCCAAGCTAATCTTTTCCATATTTACAAGGTCGTTAAAGAGGAATAAAGGACAATCATTAAAATTAATATTTAACAATCTTTCAAAAAAAAAAAAATATTTTAAATTAGCTTCTAAATTTTACTAAGAAATATATTAAATAAGTGTTTTAACTGTAAAGTTTTGTACAGTATAGTTTATCAGTTTGGTAGGAGAGATAACAGATTTTAAAAAGTTCATTTTTACTCGATCCTATCGCTTCTATTTTAAAATTTCACAAGAGTATAAGAATAATTACAGTGTATATATAAGAAGTATTTAATGTATAAATTAATTAATATACTGTATATATATTTTTTAAAATCAATTTTTACAGATTTTTATGCTAAGAAAATGTCAAAATAAAGTTCATTTACAAACATTCCTGCAAACTGCTGATAAGATAAGTGTTGAAAATCGTAACTTGTCGGTTATAAAATGCCTGAAATCTCCGTTTGTCAAGCTTTCTTATTATTTTATTCCTGATTCAGTAACATAATTTTAAAGATTTAAGAAATTTTTACACGTTTTAAAGCTTATTTTTTTAGCTTTGAAAATATCAAATTCCTACACTCGACCAGGTTTTCTTTTTAACTTCGTGAAGCATTTTACTTTAAAGATTTCTCTATATAAAATTTAAATTATTACCTTAAAAAATAGTCGCATATACAATGATTTTTATACATAAGTTATATTAACTTTTGTATTTTACTATATACACGTATATACTCGTATATAAACACACCTAAAGATACACACAACACACAAGATTCTGTTTATTGTAAGACTCTAAACATACAAAACCTTAGATTATGAACAAATAAGATCTTGCAAGTGAATAAATAGAAAGATCTTGAAAGCTTCTAAATAATTAATAAGGAACTACATCTTGTAATATATTGAATTATTAAGATTCTTGGGTACTTCTGAACAATATTAGTTCGAATAAATATAGTTTATATAGGAATAAGTTAGATAAAATAATATAGTTGTTTCACTTTGCTTGTATTTATATAGAAACAAAGAAAAATAAAGATTTTAAAAGCCTTAGTTTTACGTAAAATTTTAATAATAATTTATTAATTCTATCTTGAAATATATATATATATATATTAATTATACACGNAAAAATGCGAAAAAACAAGAAAAAAAATGCTGTTTACTTCCTTCAAAATGTTTAAAAAATACATCAAGTTTCCTAGTTCATTTCTTTAAAAGTATTTTTTTTAAATATATATTTTGAACTTTATCGAACTACTTTAAAGTATTAAAATTATATCAAAGTTTTCTTAAGTTTTCTACTTTTTCCTCATCGAATTTATTAAAACTTCTTTAAAATAAAATACAAATTTTTTATAAGATCTTCTTAAATCTCTTATTTAAAAAGTAAAAAAAAACTCATTATAATAAATTTATTAAATTTAAAAAATAAAAAAATATTTTTTTCCGTTTCGAGGGGAGAAAAAAAGTAGAATTTCAATCGAATTCTTTTAAAATATTAAAAAATAAAATTACTATTGAAAATATATACGCAATTTTCATATGGAAAGTGGATGCATTTATCGAACTCCTTTAAAATATTTAAAAATATTTCAATTATCTTAAAATATTTAATTTAGAAAAAGAAAAAAAAAAAGAAATGCAAATTTTATGCAGAAATCGATACAGTTATTGAATTGTTTTAAAAATATTAAAACTTAATTCTTTTGTTCCATACTTAATTAATTCCGAATAAACTGAATTAAATTATAGTTTTTTTTTTAAATATAGTGCTTTAAAGTAAGCTCACCTCGAATTGGAAGACAAGGATAAAGACGACGCACAAAAGATGTAATTTGGACATTTTCTGATTGTTGTCAACAGGCTGTATAGAGTGAGGAAGAACTGTGAACAGTCATATAAACAGTCCTGTTCTTGAATCGATGATGTTCTACCACGACAGCTTATTGGATAAGAACTTTACGCCGACTCAGAACCAATTTTACTTAAAATATCTTTATTTCCTGAAATAATAAGTTTGAAGAAAATATATTACTTAAACTTACAATACATTTTCTTTATAAAAATTCGAATTTTACTGTCGAAAACATTACTTACATAATGCTATATGCGTAGGAGTAGATGCGATATATATCGCAAAATTAGTGTTTATAATCTATAATTTAAACGTATATATATAAAATTAGCTGTTAGAAGGTCTTCTAAACATATTTTTTAATAAAATCAATCGATATTAAACACTCTCCTTGTCTTCTAAAGAATATAATCTTTATATATTACGCTTTTTTTCCGCTATCTTCGACCATAAAATACGACCAAAAAAAAAATATGCCGCCTTTTCAAAGAATATTAAATATTTTCTCTCACTTCAACCATAAAAAATAAAAATTAAATGAATAAGAACAGAAAATAATTAAATTTTGTATTATTTAACTTTTATTTATAAATAAATTAATCAGAATTTTATTTCTTCGAGTATTAATAACAATAAAAAAAATTTAATATTAATCTTTCTTACAAGATTTAATTAAATAAATTTATTTATTTGTATATAAAAAGATAAAGTTTTTCATTATAAAAAACAAAAAAGAATTATATCTTTTATCAAATATCAATCTTGATTAAATAATTATTCAATTAATTATGTTAAAAAATACCTTTAAATTTACATTAAAGATGAAAACTTTTATCCAAGATTTTTACAGCATCCCGAATTTCTTAGAAATTTATAAATAGCTTCCACATCTGTTCCTGATGATGTTATTTATATATATATATATTTTTTAACTCTAACTTTTTTGCATCTAAACGCGAAATTAATATTCTTATTTTCATATTTAAAATATAAAAAATAAGGAAACTGCCGATATAACTAACCATTAAGAGATTTTGATATTCTAAGAAATTAATTCCTTTTTTTTCTTCAAGATCTTGGAAGTCCCCACGCAATACAAATTCAATTTATATAGAAATAAATATATCATTTTCATATATTTTTTTAAAAATATTATTTAAATAAAAGTAATTTATTTAAGCACAATATTTATCTTACATTTTTCATGTTTAATGCTTTCTGACTATAAAATTTGAATCTATATTAACTTATATTCTCAAGAGATAAAACTACTGAAATGCGTGCTTCACTGCATTCATTAGTGTTAAAAGGAGAAGCCAACTTTACAATCGTTTCCATTATTGCAAATATCTCGTAACTGTTTTTCACAAAAGATTAATAAACATTGGACATATTTAGATATATATTACTTGTCTTAATATATATATATATATAATTTTAATATATTTAAATAAATTGTTATCATTTTAAAATTGATAAATACACGGTTGATTTCTCGACATCTTTATCACCTTATCTAATTCAGTTTAATCAATAATACGAATTATTTACTTTTAATTATATTATAAACTATAAGCATTAAAAAAATTGTGTAGCTTCTTAATTTTCTTATTAAATTAGTGAAAATACAAGATTTTAAGATCGTATTAAATTCTTAATTATGCTCTGTTGTTATAGCATTTTATAAAACACGATGTAGTTTTAAAATGTTAAGAAAGATTTAAGAGTAAATAAACACCTTTAGCAAGTTTAATTAAGTTATTTGTGTAAGGAAACTTGAAGAAAATATAAGAAAAAATTGTATAATTTATTTTCAATTTAATTCATCGATCATAATGAAAGTTTTCATAATAATTTGGAGGTCTTTTAAATGATTAAATATATTTCAAGAGCTGTTTCGTAAAATTTAATTGAAAATTTCTGTTACAAATAAAGGTAATTTGATCTTTGTTGATAACGTAGAAAGAGAAATGTTTTCCAGACTTTTGTAATAACAAGGAAGTAAAACCAAGGAAATTATTGACAAGAAATATATTAATGACATGTTTATAAAACTAACCTTTTTCTATATATTAAAATTTATATATTTTTAAAGATAAAATAAATGAAACGTGATGTATATGTATAAATATATTTATATACTTCTTTGTGTATGTTATTGAGTTGCTGCAGTTATTGAATATTGAAAGATTTTTAGTATCACTTTACACGCTCACATAAGTGTAAATAGATAAAGGAGAAAGAAAAATATCTATTCCTTCATTTTTTCTTATATCTTTAAACTTATAAAAATCATTTTAAGATATTTTTTATAAGAACTTTTAATTAAAAATGTTATTGAAAAACTTTTTAATTATTTAAAAAAAATTCATAATTTTAACTAAACTTTCTTTTATTGAGGATAATGTACAAATTAAAATGACAAATTCTTAAGTACAACCTGTTGTTTATTTAATTGGTTTAGCAAAAATATTGCTTTTAAAAGTATAATTAATCATTCTTTTATTGCAAGTGATAGCACACATTATAGGAAACTTCTATAGTATGTCATACACACACACTAAGTAGCAAGTATCGGTTCAATAGAGATTTTGATACAGGTGGTTGAAGTGTTAATTATGTCATTAATTCTGCCATCTAAATGTAGAGACATTATTATTAATAGCATGACTTGTCGTTAAAGAATCGTTATTGTATCGTTTAGTAATGTCCAGTTGGAAGAGAAAATCCATTAAGATAGATCTTTACTGTTTAATGCGGGTATTTATAAATAATCTTATGTAACCTTTACTCTCTAGCATTCGGATTTTTTCATATTCATGTTCGGTTAATCTGTACTGATTTTTCAAATATGATAAGAAAATGGAGTGTTTTATACACTAGAAAACCGACTGTACACTTTTTTTTTGTATAGACGATTAAGTTTCTAACGAGATCTTAATGTATTAAAAACTCATTTTTGTTATCTATATGTATACAGTATATAATTTTTTTTTAATAATTATTCTTGTTTCGAATTGAGGAAGCGATACAGGAAGACGTACAAATATTTTATTTTATATAACAAAATACTGTATTATTACTAAAACCGTTATAAAAATCTAACAAACAAAGTGTAATTTATATATATTTTGTTTTTAGTAGCTTAAAACTGCATGTAAACATATAAACATTCGCACAGACAAACAGGTGATCCGTGACAGAATTACAAAATTAATATTATTATATAGATACAGTTTCCGTTTACAGGAAAATAAAAAATATAAAAAATACAGTAAATTTCCCGTACTAAAGCTTCATAACAATTTTTATATCTATAGAAAACAATTTCTTTAGTCGTTTAGTTGTTTTGAAAACAATAAAACGTTTACGAGATCTTCTTTTTTAATTTCAGTTTAACAAAAATAAAAAAAAGGAACATCGTATCGTTTCCATTATACATTTATTTAAAAAATTTAAAATAAAACTTTGTTTAAAAGGAGTAATTTTAACTTATTATTGCGACTACTGCCTACGAGCAACTATTGGACATATTAAATTCAACAGCATATAATTATTTACACCCGTCTTTCAAACAATATTACTATAGCCTGAGGTAAAAGAATTTCTCAATATCACGGCTTCAGCGGGATAAACATCGTTGAAAACAGTGGTATAAACCTTAAAGAACTTTACCAAAAAGACACCATTGCCCGAGGTAATTCACATTTGTAATTAAAATTTACCTTCTCTTGACATCACACCGCTGATACCGAGTAATCAATCATTCGGTTTGATGTGTTACCGCAGCCAATTTTCTAAAAAAAAAAAATAAGAAAGGGGAGGAGAAAGTGTTCTTTAACAATATATATATATATAAAACTCTAATAATTTTAAAAGTACTCCCTTTAAAATAATTATAATTAAAAGTTTGTAAAATAGATTTTTAACTAGCTTTACTTACATAATTAAAACGGTTTTAATTATTTTATAGCGATAAAATACAGCTGTTGAATGCTAAATTTACATAAATACTTAATTTATCTATTAATAAACACCTTTAGAATGCGAATAACTGATATTTTTATAACTATTTTTAATTTAAATTAATTTACTTTTTTTTTTATCTCAAACTTCTAAAAATAACTTTATAGTCAATGAGATAGTCTGAGTTTACATTTGAATTAAGTTGTTATTTTAAATTTTAATGTATATTAAATCTAAAATTAAATTCTGTAAATAAATTTAATGGTAATAAATAATATTTTCTTGGGTTGTAAATAAGTATTAATCTTCTGCATCACAAACTTTTGAATTTTTCTCTTATATAAACCTGTCAGAAGGACATCATTGTAAATATTGTAACAAATATTTTAAATTTGTAATAATATCAATAAAATATTTATAGAAATAATGAATATTTTAGTGTTTTAATGCACATAAATTGCAATTTATGTGCATGAATAGAGTAAAAAATGTCCCTTCTAGTCTTTCTTGATGGTTAAGATATAACAGTCAACCCCCCTATAACACTGTTGATTTTTCTGTTTTATATGAATTTCATGTTGTACGAGTCACTTAAATTTTACAAATACATGAGCCGTTCACAGCCCGGCACACGTATTTGTAAAATCTAAGTGACTCGTACAACATGAAATTCATATAAAACGGAAAAATCAACAGTGTTATAGGGGGGGTCGACTGTATATCAGTTACATCTGACAGATAAACTGTGTTTAGTTTAGTATATAAAACTATTAAAATAGATTTAGTTGTAGAAAAAATTCAGTTTTAAACTGTTTGTCAACATAAATAAATGTGAAAATATTTCTACGTATCTACAATCTGCAGACACACTGTTAACATTTGGTATTGTTATTGCTCTTGACAGTAGTTGTGTAATAACTTTCGGGAAAGCTAAAATTTAAAAATATATAAAACTATTTGAACTTTTCTAAACTATTTCTTAACATAAATAAAAATAATAAAATATTTCTGTAACTTTTATTAATAATTAACAATTTCTGTATACGTCTGCACATCTTTTGTAAGGGAAATAAATAATCGAGTTCAGCATATTTTAAAGTAAAGAAAATTAAATTAAATTATTTATTCTAATTTAACGTTCTACTAATTAAGAATTAAACATATAATAAGAGTTATATATAATTAATTTTTTTAAAGAAAAGAACAAAAGTTTATACATAATTTATATGTTTTAATAGTAGAATAATCTGTGTAAGGTTGCAAAGTTATAAGCAATCTTTAAACACGAAATCTTTCTGCATATTTATACACACTTTAATAACAGTTAACCTTTCTATAACAGTAAATATAAAGGGCATGTTTGTTAAGATAGCGTCTAACACAGAGGACAAACAATAAAGAATTAGTCTAGAAACTCCTCTAGAAAGATTTAAACGTTTTTTTTTTCGGGTGTATATAACATCATATAGATATTAATGAAGTGATAAGTCATAATAAAATGAAAATAATATGGTCACCTGCATTTGATGTACATCTTGAACGTTTTTTCCTTCATTCTAATACTAAAATGATCATATATCTTAACTCTCCAGAGTATAGTAAATTGAACAGTGTCATAATTCAAGAGGATGTCTCCGGTCGATGAGTGTGGTGCAAAGATAATAGTGAATCATTTGCTTTGCTATCTTTTCTTCTTACTTGTACAAATACTTGGAGTGACACCCTGTGAGAGTTTCTATTGTTTACGAATGAGAATAACTTTCTTCAAAGAATTAATTGTTTCTTTTATGTAATGCATTTATAAATAAGTTCATTTCTCTTTCGTGGATAACATAAAATGATTTATTACTCGGTTATATAATACGCTTACCAACTTCTTAGTTTACAAACTTTGTATATTAAACCGAATACGTAAATATGAAAGTTAAAGGTCGTTGATAATATTTTACATAATGATTTAATTAATAATTTTGTAACGTAAAACTGATGTTAATTATAGTCATTTTAATTTTGTAATACGATTAACTTGAGAAATATATTAATTTTATAAATATTTTAATAACAGAAATACTGTATTTATAAATATACTTTATAAGCTTATTTACTATATATTAATGTAAAAAAATGTGCACATTTTAAGTTTGAAAATTATCTGAATTATAAATTTAACGAAAAATATCTTTGCTTTTCTTTTTTATAGATGAAGATTTGTGATACTTCTTAAATTAATAGTTATTTCTACCAATAGAACGATGCTCGAGAATAGATGTTGCAATTTTTCACTATTAGAACTAGAAGCAATATTATCAATAAAATTATATATAACACATATATATTTTATACAGTAAATAATCATTTTAGAGGATAAGAAAGTAATTATAATGACACTTCCTTCTCATCTTAATTCTTCAGCTTCACTTAAGATCTTAACATTTTCTTGTATTCTACACGATTCTTCCAAGATATTTATGCTTACAACCTTTTTTTATTGTGATATATTTGAAAAAATTTATCTTTATATTTTATAATATTGTATACTTTATCTTAGTATAATTTTTCTACTTCTGATAGATAAATCAGTTGTTGTGTAACGAATTAATTTATCTGTATTAGATGTGTTTAACAGATTAATTAAGAGATATGCTATTAATTAAACTATTAGTGCTGATATAATAAATTAATTACGATGTTTAATTAATTATTGTTAACAGTTGTCTATCGTATTATATTCATATTTTACACATTAATAACTGTTTTTTATACATATATATACTTTATTTAACAGTTTATTAGTAGATAATGTAGAAAACACACTTGTCATATGCAAAAATAAAAGCTTCTTCATGCAAAAAGATGAGGATCAACTGCTTAGAAAATAATGAGATGAATTAAACAACGAAGGTGGAAAGATTCTGATTAAAAATAAGTGTAGCAAAAGTACATAAAACTATAATTATACAGAATTACACCCGAAGAAAAGTAATTTTACGGTGTTCTAACAAATTCTAAAAACAAATTTATTAAAAAAATGATTAAGTGAAAAGTTAAAAAATAATTGTAATTTTAAGGAAACGAAGTGAATTAAAGAAGAGTAAAACTTCTGTTTACTTCCTCAAGATTTGTATTATGTAAACTGCTTAAAATCCTAATAAGAAAATGGAAGAAACATTATATTTTCTTACGAATTAATAAAACTAAACTTAAATAACTATTTAAAAAATTATTGAAATTGTTTATAGATTTCTTTCTTCTATTCAACTCTGATAGATAAATTTTTATTAAAATACAACCATTACTAGAAAAAGAAAGAATATAATTCTGGAATAAATATAAAAGAAGTAAAAATAGTATCAGAGAATAAACACATTACATTTGACGGGGGTATAAAAAAAAAAAACTCACATCAAAAGAAAAGTGTAAACCTAAACCATTTTTAGACTTGAATTTAATGGAATATGATCCAATTCTGGATAATTTTACTAAAAAAAAAAGTAAAAAATAATAATGATGATAATAAAGAAAATAGAACTAACGCTTGAAAGAGCAGCAAAACTTGAATTTTCGTTATAATTGCTGCAAAATGTGAAAGCGAATAAAAATGCATTTTTTAAACATTAATGTCATATTCAAAATTTTTTATTTCTTTTTATATACCATTATAAAATTATATTGATTTTCATAACCTTTATTTAGACAAAATTCAACGAAAACAGCCATTTTCACAACATATTTAGGTATAAAATTTTGTTTAAATAATGTCCTGTCATAAAATAATAATAATAATAATAGATAATATAACACTACTTATCAGCATATAACATATGTAATAAATTTTTTTATTTTTTTAATAATAAGGAATAAAATGTAAATATCTACCTCAAAGCATTACCTCAAACTTTTATTTTTATTTTTTTTCCTCATTTTCTGTATAAACTTTCGAACCGATTCTTGTTTAACTGTAGATAATTTACTGACTACTCTTAAATTAAATTACCATAATATCCTTGTAAGTTGAGAATTACACGAGTATAATTTATAACTATAGTAGCATCAATATCAGTTTTGAATAGAATGTTTCGAGTGTTTATAAAATTAAAACTGATCGATTTTATGAATATTGTAAAGGATATAATTTCCTCTTTAAAATTTCAAGCGGATTTTGTGATAAAATTTGCTATTCATAAATTTATTCTCGTTTCAAAATGTGAAGATAACAAGTAATACGATGCCAAAATTATTCTAGTTTAACCTGATTCTATTCTCAATCTGTTAAATCTTTATTAACTAGAAATTTTAACCTTTTTTTTAAAGTTTTAATGATATAATTTTGAATATTTTATGGCACTTTTACGTAAAATATCTTTCTTTTTTTTAAAATTATATAATCAATAAGTTAACTAGTTAAATTGTAAATAACTTTAAAAGTTCTTTCTAGATACAAATAATAAGATCATTTTATAAGTTATATTTTAATAAACAACCGAGTCTATTAAACTTACATAAAATCCGAGGTAATTCAAATATACAGGGTGGTCTCATGGGCGTAGCCAGAGTTTTGTTATGGGGGGGCCTAGTGGAGGCCAACCTGACACAAAATTGAATTATTTCAAATTATTGTTCATTATTGGGCACCGAGCAAGCCGTTCACCTTTTTTTTAGTATTCAAAACTTTTATTTTAGCTTTAGGTGTTTACAAATCGACTCAACACTTTTTCGGCTGTGATTTCCTGGGGGGCACCAGGTTCCCTGGGAGGGGCCGTGCCCACCCAGGCTCCCCCCTCGCTACGCCCATGGGTGGTCTAGAAGTCAGTTAACTGTGTTATGTGTTTCGGATTACATTTTCGTAAACTGAGTTTAGAACAACGTAAAATTAGTGGAAAAATGAGAAAAATGTGATTTAATATTTAATTATTTGGGCAGTTTAGTCTTTACAATGATTTACTGATTTTTAAACTAATCCTGTTATGTAGTAAAACCTGTCTAAGACGGAAAATCAATCTAGTAATGTTACGATTTGCTATGTAAAATAAAATATTATTATAAGCCAACTTGTCTAACGTGGAAACAGAAGACATTTTTGGAATCAGTTGCGTAACATAACCTGTGTAAAGCAAAATTTTTCAGCGTAACAGCTGCCAAATTCTAAAGCATAATTAATTGCGGGTTCGAATTTAAGCTCCACTTTTCAATGAAGAATTACGGTCTTTTATTTGTTTTCTTTCTTAAGATTGTATTTACATTGTCTAGAAAATAATTGTGACAATGTAACACTATGTAATCCAACTCTCTTGAAGAGTTAGTAAAAATATAACCATGTAAAAAAACATAAAATTCTAGCAGGTACTCTTTCCGTCTTAAACAGATTCTACTATATAAATAAATAACTATATATAAACTTAAAATAAATATATAAAAACTAAATGTTTTGATGTAGACTAAGAAGTGGTTATATAAATTTTATGTAAGTATTTCTTAATACATTTAAATATAATAAAAACGATAACAGTGCGTTGAGTAAGCACATTAAATAATTTATGTACAGTAGGCTACGTACATAAAATTATATTTGATATATCAATACAACATTATAAAAATGATTTACCTGTATTTTCTTCCATAAACTTGTGGTCAAGACTATTGATTGTTTAAGTACACTGTCCACGTTCGTTTCGGTTGATAGCATAGAACATTGACAACCGAATTCTTCTCGGGCTTAACTCTATTGTGCGTATTGTTCGCAATTTTTTGGATGAACAATTTTAGCGTAAATAGATAGCAAAGTACCACTTAAAATGACTAAAAAATGGTACCACGTCTTCGAAAGATATCTTGCTCTAAGAACTACGTTCCTTGCTAGAAGTGGAAGAATTTTAAGAGGTTAAGAGCGAGGTTGTAAAATAAAATCATTGTAAAAATAAAGAAACAAATAATTTATAATAATGGATTATAGTTTAAATAATATAAGGTAAAGTTCCACTACGGCCTACCAAATTTAGATTAACTCCAATTTTTTTTTCCCTCCCAAAAAATGACTAAGTTATCACACTTTATTTGCTTGATACATAAAATTGAACTAGTTATAGACCATTTTTGACTGATTAATTTATATTTAAGCCATAATTTTAGGCATGTATATCATAGGAATTTATATTGATAAAGTAATATTTAAGTCGTATATGGAAAAGAAAGTGGGAAATGATGTTTTCTTCTATCTAAATTTCATATTGGAAAGCACAACAATAGCATAAAACAACTGCTAGATACAAAAACTTATTTTAAAAATAGAAAGAAAGATTATAGAAGTGGAAGAATTCTGGAGACATGTAGAGATTTCAAAATGATATTTTTACTGAAGCAGAAATACAGAAACACAGTTTGGTAAGAAGTATTTGGCATCTGGAGAAAATGTTAAGAAATGTAACTTCATACTGATTTATATTTATTGATAATGATAATAAATTAAAAATAATACACAATAAAATCACATAATAAAAATAGATAAAAGGTCAAAGATAAAATCAGTAGGGTATTGACAATTTAAGACGGAATTGAACGAGATTTAAAGGATAATTAAAGGAACTACATACAAATAATTCGTTTATTGGAACAAAAAAAAAACCAAGAAGTTTCTATGTCACTTAAATAAAAAACAATTTAATAAAATTTTATTATAAAAAAAGAAAGAAGCTCAGATAAAATTTTTTAAATTTAAATTAATTAAAAAATATTTTATAGCAGTGATAAAAGTGAAGAATACATCAAAGCAATACACAAAGAAGTCTAATATGAGATTTCATGTAACTGAAGATTTCTTTGAATATTGCACGGTAAAAATAGTACGGATCAGAATTGGTAAATATAATAACGAAGAATAAATATATTAATTGGCTTGCTAATGATGTACTAATTTGGGTAATTACAAATACAAAAAAAAATTATAGAGCTTAATAATTGAAAAAAAAAAATAAATAAAGCAATCAGGAAACTGACAAAGTTGTCCAAGTTCATTGGGAATTTAAAGTAAGGCCTATATGCTCACACTTCAGATTTTCCAATAATTACTCCGTTGAGAATAAATGTAAAAATTAATTTAGATAATGAATTATTTAACTAATTAAATAGCCTACACGTTAAATATTCCTTTCGGGTTAATACGATTCTTACACTTTTCAGTTGAGACATTCGGAAATATTTAACTTTTCGAAGGACACTTAAACGAAAAATACCAGTTAATAATGTTAAGAAAATGATCCAGAATATTAAGGAATTGTTACGCTATTAAGAATATTTATGAAGATTTACGTGCAATGGCTAAATTGATACGCAAATAGGACTTTAGTTTTAATCCCAGTGGGATTTACAATGATATAGGCACGCCATATTTAGATTTATCAATGCAACGTTACAAAAGGATGTAATGAGGTCGAATTAGTTTATAGTAATTGACGAAACGATATCAGTATAAGATTTAATTTAAGCAACATCTCAATAGAATCAATTGTCAACATTACAAGTTTCGTTAAACGCGAGAAATTAATAATAATTTTCGAGTCGAATTTATTACGTAAAAATCGAAATTACTGCGCTAATTCGTTCATTGTCATTTTAGAAATTAAAATTTCAAAAAAAGTTTTAAAAGTTCTGGCGTTTTAAAGAAAGAAAACACGAAAACCATTAGATAACTTCTGTAACAATATACTTTTGTTTAACTGCAAAAAAGAAATGTTTTAAATGAACCAAAGAGTTTTTCATCGATTCACTTCAACAAAAAGTAATTATAGAATTTTGAAATGTTAGTTAAATGACTGTAAATCGAATTTCCCTCACTAAAAATATCCTTAAAACACCTTGAGGATTCTTATTACTTTTTAGACATTTTTGTCTTCGGAATGGAATTAGTTTTTTCTCAAATGGTAGATTTCTTTGTATATAAAAAGATCTGATCCAGAATGAGATGTAAAGAAAAAAAATATATATATATATTTTTTTTAAATAAAATTTCGAATAGATAACTGTTAGAATCATCCACTTTTCTATTGGAATTGATGTATTTTATTAATTTTTTCCATTGCTGACTTTAGACTCGCATCTATTATCTTTGTAATTTAAACAGGAAATTGTCTAAAATGAATAATCAAAACTCGATATTTAAAAAAAAAAATAACAACTTATATACACTAGGAAGCAAGAATTAATCGTGTAATAATCCAGTTTTAAAACAAAATTTAAAATTTCATGAATTTTTCATAAAGATAACATTTTCTCCATTATCTCTTCTCGATAACGAGTTTAAATTTAAAATATTCAATTTGATTTAGATAGCGATTTTGTTTCTCTCTAAATTTTAATTCATTTTTCTTCGGGGTAAAACGTATTTTTTTATATTAAAAATAAAACTTCGTTATGAATCTAGCTAAATATCCTCCTTCAATAATCTACTTAATGGCATAGTATAAATACCACACACAAAAAAAAAAAAGATTTTGGCTTAGAGCAACGATCTGATTTTTGAATTTTCTTCTTTGTTTTTTAAAAAAAAAAAAATAAGATAAAATTCTAAATTCATCCAAACTTTAACATATCTTTACATCAGCCAGTTTGCAAGCCGTAAGCCACAAGAATGCAATCGATCAAACGGTATTAATTGGCTTAAGAGCGGTTTGAGAAGCGATTGAGGCAATGCCATTAAGCTAGATCATTGATCCAAACTGTTTACATCCTTCAAGACTTGCCTCAAATATATATAAAAATCAATTCGTGAATGACTTTAACTTAATTTAATAATATTATCCTTGTATTCATTTTTTTTTTATATATATATATTCTAAAATTATTATATAGAATCCATCTTATTGTAAAGACGACCTTGACTAACGAAAGTAGTTTTATCTTCGCTTCGCCATCTTTACGTTCAATTATCTGGCAGACAAGGCTGACTAATGATCTCATTGTGGTTGAACTATCTTCTACATTACTGATATATAGAGAAGTTCATTACTAAAACGAACCTTGGATGAATTTCAAGTAACCTAATAACTTTTCACAAAAGACTACGATAATTCGACTCGATTTAAGAGAGAGAGAGAGAGAAAAAAAATCATTCGTCTCGATTTATCGTGATTGATAATAATTAATCGTTTCTTCTTACTCTATTTAATAATTATAAAAATGCAAAATTAAAACTTCACACCACCAGATCTTGTGTTTTTTTATTATTATTATTTTTTTAAACAAACATTTTCTTTTTTTGGCAGAGCCATGTCTTTCATACATATACATATTTGTACATTTAATATATACAACTGGCGTCATCCCATGAGTTAGGGATCGAAGCATATACGCGAATGTGCATATTATCAACAGTAAAAGTAAACATGCAACCTTCTTCACATGTTCTTCCCTTTTTTTTTTTAAAGTGTGCATAGGAAAATGACTGTGTACAATGAAAATCTAATTTTTCTTATAATCGACAGAAAATTCATAATTGTCTTCCTGATATTTCTGTCTATTAATAAGGAACTACCGACGGTCCTTTGTATGTGCAGATAGGTGCTCCTGAATATTTTTTTTAAGTAAAAAATTATTTTTAAATCCGTTTTAATCATATATATATATATTTTTTTTTATCGTTCCAAAAGTATATTAAAAAGTCTGTTTATCGTCATCATTATTATTTTTTAAATGTCTTCCTTTATAAAATAAATCAAGAAAAAACTGTCTGCTCTTAATTATTAAAGGAAGTTTAAAAATGTAACAAATTTCTGAATGGATATACAATAAGTCGGTATGGAAAAATTCTTCAAAAAATTAATGAATGTATCCCCGGAATAAATCGATATAAAATAACTACCTCGAGAAGAAATATGTATGTATGTATGTATATATATATATATATATTCTATCAATAAAAAATAATTATTTAATAAATAACCCTTCTGTGAAGAAAATGTCACAGTTGTCGAGTTAAAAAATAAAAATAAGTTTCTTCTTTTTTTTCCTTCCTCCACGATTTTTAGCTGCCTTAAATTTTTGAGCAGCCAACAGAATTGTAAAAACGGTAAAATTAATTATGCGATGCCCTTTTTCCTTTCATGTAACCCAACCATCTCTCTGCCGTTAATTTAAGAATAGAATCGTCATAAATCGTATCCAGAAATAAAAGCTGATTAATGTGTGTCGTGTGATAGTCCCAACGTGCTAAATTTGGTGCCACACCCAAAGAGAAATGGCGCAAATCGTAGATTGAACCGAAACCGGAATCGTATAATGGAAGCATTTTTTTTAATGAAACCATCCCCTCGTCGAATAATTTCCCGGCTTCTCTGCAATCTTCATGAGTGCACGTCATGTAGACATCGTAAAGACCGAATAATGAATAAATAAAACCATTAAGAACGAAAGAACTGGGCACGGTTGGGTACTCCTCATACCAGACGTACTTACCCAGGAATGTGGTCATAATACCATGATTTTCGGACCTGACTTTGAATATTTTCACACCTTTCAGTGCGGATTCTAAATATTTTAAATCACCCGTCACTATGAAAGCTCTGGTAAGCAAAGACATGGCTTGACCCTGAGCCATACCAGAATACCAACCAGGAGGTAGTTCTAGCATGCCATTAGATAACTTTCGAGTCACCATAATGGGCCATCCTCCCTTATCGTCTTGATGTCTCACTAACCAATCGGCCGCGGAGTAAAAATGTGCCAAATGGGCACTAGATGCCAGTTTGATGGTGTCTATATAACCGGAACCACGCAGCACGAGTCTACGAACACGAAGAGTTCTTAACCTGGCTATTTTTCTGTTGGTATGTTGGGCCAGTCCTTTTTGCAGGTCTATACCCAAATCTCGCGTGACGTGATACCATCCGCTGCGATTGCTGCCGATGCCGTAAATGACGTCACTGTCTCTAGTAGTTAACAAAACGTTGCTGGTGACGTAACGGATGGTATAACGACTATGATCAGCTACATTTTCTAACAACACAGTTAAACTTGAGTTGCTGGTGAAGAGCATCTCAAAATGGAGCGTGGTGTAGGGAAGATCCTCGTGTAAAATCAGCACTGCACCGGGATTGGTACCTACGAAAAATACAAGAATTTCATTTCATAAAGTTGTCCTGCTTTTTTCAAATATTTACACATTCAGAAACTAAAAAAGAAAGGTAAGAAAAATTCATCCACATACAAATCTATTCTCTAATGTGCATTTAATGAAGACATTTAACAGCTGTTGTTCCATAATAAAAAACAAAACGGAAACTACTTTGCGGAATTTTAATTAAAACTTTCTACTGGGAAGTGTTTTTACGATGCAAGAAAAATGAAAGTATCAAGCGGAACTAAATAATAATAATTACAATAGAAAAAAAGGATTTTTTTTTTCTTTTTACCTATTCTAAATTCCAACAACTTGTGTCCAACTGTATCGTCCATAACTCTACGAAAGATGACATTTTGAGTGTCAGTGGGTAGTTTCCATTTTCCTTTATGCGTAGCGCTACCATCTTCTATCACAACGTCTGTTGGAGGACTTTCTGTCAGATTTTTGCTGAAGTGACTCAAACCGAATTGTGCAATCTGGATTGGATAGAAATAACCTCGTGGGTCCCACTGGCTGGATACTGGTACACCTGATAAACACATTAAAAAAAATGGCAATAAATAATTATTTAATGCAAATTTATCGCATTTTATCAGAATGAGAAGCATGCAGATATATAATCTCGCTTTATACAAGATAATTAATACCGGAATATTCAACTCGGTTTATTACCGTTTTAGGCAACACAATTTATAGTTGTGTTGCCTGGAATGATAATAAACCCGGCTGAATATTTTGCCTATAAGTGCTAGAACATTAATGTACATATAAAGTGTACACACATTCAATGATTGATCGCTCTAAGCCGAAACGCAATCAAAACTAGACGAGAATATTTTTATTGCAAATTTGAAATTTATAGAAGATGAATAATTTATTAAAGGCTTATAAATCTACAATAAACTCTTTTTTTTTAAGTGCCGCCATCTGTTGTAAGTTACGTAAATTTTCGCTATATAAATGTCATGTATAAAACACTAAAATATGTTTATTTTCCTATATATACAATAAAAAAAAGTTTAAAAAAAATAATCTTACGAATAAATTTACAAGGAAAGTATACATTATAACAAGGTGAAACGTAACAGATATGTAAATAGGCATTAAATATCAATGACCAAAGAAGAAAGAGTAGATTGTGATAGAAGAATAACCGGAGTTCTCATTCATGCGACTGTCTGATAAATGAAGATAGAACAAACTGCAAGCATAACGTGACTTAACCCCTAAAACAGTTCGATATTCCAATAAATTCGATCGGATGGAAACGACCTAAGGAAACCAACAATTTCGCTTAATACTTTGCCATGTTGAGCAAACATCTATCCATAATCCTCATCACGTGTTGCAGTCTTTCATTTATATATGTAAACATTAAGCCGAAATAAGCACTTACCTTCGATACCGCTAATGAATTTCACTCGATCTCTGACTTCGACGTTATAATTTTCGAACCATAAGAACACACCGTGTGGATCGTATTTCTTTTGTGGATAATATACTTTGGAATAACTATGCTGCCATTCGAATCTTTCGTAACCATTATGTTTAACTAAACGACCGTAAACTTCGAAATATTTGTGGATAAAAGTAAAAGGTATATAAACTTCGCCGCCGTACTGTCGACAGGAAATGGTTGATTCTTCGTTAATTAAACAATCGATATTTCTTCCATTTTTTTCTACTTCTGATAATTTTTCGTCCTTATCGTAAGTGTCCGAACTATAAGAATCACTCCCTTGACGGTGTCTAGTCCTCCAAAGTACTTCTCTAGGATGCAAAACGGTCGTTTCTCCACATTTAGTCCAATACGATAGTGTGGTGATTCCTACTCCAATGATGAACACGATGAGTAGGAGCTTTAAATTAATTCGCATCATCTAAAAAAACAAAATGAAAGAATTATCATCAAGTAAACTTTAAAATTATAAAATTGACCAGATTATTTTCATTTATATAATTTTGAGTTATCTGAATTTCAATTATGATATTACAGCAGCAGGTATGACAGTATATATATATTAGTTCATACTGGATATAAAATTCCACATCCTAAAATTAGCATAAAATGTTTAATAAATGTGATCAATACTGGAGATAAAAGACTAGAAAACCAACCGAAAATAAGGAGAAAACTTTTAAATTTTAAACAACTCTTCCCATCATTTTCGAAACTATCGAGACAACTAATTTGGAAAAAAAATGAATAACAATTCAGCTTTAATATCTAATTAACTGATCAGATCTTCCAATGAGCATTCATAATATTTATCGAATTTACAATTTTTGTCATGCTTTTATCTAGTTTTAATTCAGTAAATCGTTTTATGTTGTCTTGGAAGCGGTAGAACGTCAGTCAAATGACAAAGCGATCGAAATTATTGGATGACGAAGTCAAGGCATGTACCAGTTACCGAAAATAGATTACTTGGCTTCGTTTCGAAATTGCTTCTTGCAACTACTTAACTGTATAAATATATACATATTATTCTCATATATTTTAATTTGTTTACAATAAACACGCTAATGTTTAAATAAAAATCATATCTAAGAAACTGTCACGAAGAGGACGAAACATCAGATTACTCTTACTAATATTTTACATCTCGATTGTTTTAATAAATTTAATAATAATAATAATATAAATAAAATTAAATCAATATATTTATTACAAATAAATATTTAAAGATTTTAAAATTAATATTCTAAATGCTGATTAATGTAACATAAAATAAAGCATCGTCATCATCGTTTTATTTTAAGCTATGTTAAGAGTTATATAGGATAGTTAAAAATGGAGAAAATGTATCTATTAAGTTAATCTTAATAAATTTGAATATTTTTTAAAAATGTCCTTTAATATTATATTAAATTTAAAATATAGGTCGCCAGACCAGACGGATCAAACCAGTTATTTCTTTTAACCACGTCTAGTTATTCTTTTAAAGTCCGAGGTCAAAACGTTCGTGACAAGTGGAAACAATAAAATGATAAATTTACATAGTAATTCTTTTACAAGCTTAATTTATATTTTTCCTTTTTATATAAGTATAGAGCAGTGACAAATTTACATTTTCATCCTAAATTTTTAATTTAAACATTCTAATTCTATGTACTTTAATATGAGAAAAAAAAGGGGTCCAATTTTTTTTATTATTTCTTTTTACGGAAGAGAATACTTGTCTAACCATTTAAAAACCTTAAAGCGAATTCAACCTATAGCCTTAGGAAGGAAATTATTTTTTTCCTCCACTGACTTTTCCAAATGTTAAACATTTTTTGGCTAAAAATAGATTTCAGTTACTTTGCCAGAATCTATTGGTATTAATCGATTCACGGCGTGTACTGCTTACAGTATGGTATAAAATATATTTCGACACTCGTAAAGTCAACAGACGATTATCCTGATTAAATAGGGAGAAAATAATAATAATTTTACGAAGTTTTACTGTCACAGGACGGACGTTGAACTAAACGACAACTCCATTAGGAGAAGCAAAGTGGAAATGACAGGCGTGACTAGACTACAATCCACACACTGGACACTCCTCGAGGCCATGATTCCACCTGATCTGTAAACAAATCGGACCTTCTTAATCGTCTACATTAAATCTAATAGTTTAATAATAACTCTAAACCTATATTTGTTTTCTATAAGCATAGTTCTCGGTGGCATCTTAACTTCGTTTTGCACATAATTGGTTAAATTTTCAATCGAATTAGCCAATAAGCTCAGGTATTAGCAATTTGAATAATGAAATATATATATGTTATACTACCATTGGTTAAAATTTAAAATTTTGAAATCCGAGCTATCCAATGATCTCTGAAAGTTACTTAAAATCGACTCCGATTGGTAAACTTTGAATTTCTTTACTCGAATCGTAAAATACAATTATAGTGCACAAATATTCATTAAAAGAGAATTACATGTTAATATTAAAAATTATGATTGAACTTAAATATTCAAAATTAAATATTTAAGCGCGAAAATCATAATTTTTAATGCGTGAATATACTTATACTCATTAAAATTCGCTTGATTAGGAATAGATAATATATGAATATTTTATGTCAAATTATCCAATAGAGTAATTAAGCTATGAATGATCATACCTCTTACTCGGTTCTTTTAATTGATAATAATTTCTGCAATTTAGTTAAAGAGAATTTCCTAAAAATTCCACGGATGATCCAAGGCACTAATGCTATAGCGAGTGATAATTTTCAAACGAATTTTCTTTCAGGAAACACGATCTAAACATAAATTATCTAACCCAGTGGTTTTTAAAAGACCCGCGTTCTCTTCTGGTTGATACCAATTTAGATATGCAAATTTCTATAATCATTGGCACTCGGGAAGAATCCAGTCGCAGAGATTGAAAATCACTGATAAAAAAAAGAAAAGAAGGAACAGAAAATGCTCGATTTAAATCATAAATTAAAAATAGGGGAGAGGAAAATGATTTTTTCTTTGACAAAAACGAATCTATAGTTGTTTTAACATCTGCTATTCAAAAAATAAAGTCTTTTTTATTGGTCGCTGACGTGACAAAGTGTGAAGCAAATGCATCGACGTCTTCGAAAAATGTAAAGATTCACGTAATCTTTACGTGCCATTGATAGGCAAAGATAAACTTATATCTTGGGTCGATGTTAATGGAAATGGCTATTACGGAATTTAGTTGGATTCGTGTACGTATTTTCATTGTTGATTAGCCGTCGATGAAGAAAGAGAGTTAAAGAACTGCCATTAAGTTAATGGTCTTTCGTGAGAAGTCTTTCGAATCGAATCAGAAATACCTTAAGGGAAAGAAAGGCTTAAAAAACCGAAAAGATTGAAGTGTATATAAGTTAAAAATATCGAAAATAATAAATCAACAGAATTTAAATCAACGCCTCCAGTTCCTTAATAGCATTTGCTGTTGTTTTTTTTTCTTTTTTAAAATAAAAATTTTGTGTGTTTATTAATTGTAATTACAAAAGAAGTATATGTTTCGCTATTTCGTAAAGATTAAAAAAAAAAGAAAAAATATAAGTTGACAGTTAAGAGAAAACATAGATAATACACTTTTAGCATCATTCTACAAAACTTAATTATAGTTTGTCCTAACAGCAAGAGATAAAAGAGCAAAAAAACGAAAAAAAAATTTTCAATTGAAAAAAGCGGAGTAGCAAACTGTCTCTCTCAATTTTGATTTCGGTTTTCAAAACTCTACACTTGACAAAAACAACTTTCGAATTGTTATTATTACATATATATATATATATAGTTTTTTTTCCTTGTAGAACAAAATTAATTATGTTTTTTTTTTTCTATATTAGTAATGGTGAAAGTGCTTATACTACTAGTCCCTGGGGGAGAACTGCGACAGCCATCTCGACTTATTGGCTCGACGTCAATCCATCACCACTGCAGCAGGGAGCGACACTGTTTTAGGGGCACTAACAGGGCTTCCAAAATATCATGTTGAATCCTACCGTAATCCTTCGTTACAACGAAAAAAAAAAAAAGGGGGAAATAAAATACAACAAAAAGAAATATACTATTTGCATCTCATTTAAACACGCACGTTTCAATTTGCGTTTTTGGAACTCGTTTGTTTCTCTGTTTAATTAATAAGTGTTTAACGTATCTAAAACTCTGCAGGGTATTATTTTACTTACAATCAGAGACGGTAAGGGACGAGATTTTTTTTTCCTTTCTAGATATTTAACGACCGGTACTAGAGCAACAACTCTAATGGTTCTGTCCCTTGGAGTCTAGCCTACGCCCATTTGGAAGAATTTCTTTCACGAAAATGGACATTGTGTGCACGTAATGTGGCTGACCAGTAAAAGGAAAATAGCTACTTTATCCACTGTATATTATATATATATATATTCTTACGGGCAAAAAAAACTAATAAAACAAAACACTATTGATCAAACTACAAGATATTTCCATCTGTCTTAATAATTTTCATATATTTGCACATATTATTAAATAAATGTTAGTTAAAATAGTGTTTATGTTATGAATATAACAGAATATTAATTCTATAAACATCATATAATTATATATATACAAAATTATAACACTAATATAATATTGTGCATAATTACAGAGTTTATATATGTATATATTTATACAATATATAAACACATCAATTGGTATAATTAAATTAAAAAGTAATTTAAAATTTAATTAAGAAAACATTAATTAATTTTAAAAAAAGTAATTATAAATTCTAAAACTAATTTTTTAAAAAAACATGTA